GAAAGAGAAAAATCTTTATCTAGATCTGAAGAAAAGTAAGCGCTCTCTGGTTAAGGCTTAGTAAGCACAGACATAGCCTGTGCTTTACCTCTAAGGCTTATCTCTTATATTATACTTGCTTATTAATAACTATTTACTCTATTATTTATAGATTTATAATACTATATAGATTTATAATATTATAAAGTAAATAGTATAACTAAATAAGAATAATAGTAAAAGTAAAAGTTAAAAGAGCTATATTAAGTTTAAGAGGATTATATTCTAAATCTAATAAAGCCTAGATAGTTTATAAGAGGAATAGTAATATAAAATCTATAGATTAGAATTATTTGCTATTAGAGTTTATACTAGAATATTTACTACCTATAAATAAGTAAAGAAAGAGGGATAATATAAAAAGGCAAGCCCTAGAAGTAAAGCACTAGCTATACCTATGCTTACTACCTATGCTTACTAAGCCTTAATAGGAGAGCGCTAACTTTTCTTTGGATTTAGATAAAGATGCTCCTCTCTCTTTTATTAAACTTGTTAAATACTATATTGAGCCTCTGTGTATACGTGACTCACCCGTGACACCGCCTCGCGTCGCTGCCCGCCCGATGCTCGCTGGATAATAATATCGATATATAGATAGTCATTTTTGGTAGGGTCTTGGCGCGACGCACGAATTCCGACTACCCCTGGTGACTCCCGAAACCAACGTGGTCTTCACTTTCCGCGGCGTGCGCATCGTACAACAACGGTATGCTCCCAGAAGCCGCCACGATTTCGCGGTAAAGGCCAAGACGAATATTAGCAGTCGAGTTAAGATGGATAGACTAAAGACGGGTCGCAGCGCCAGATGGGGCGCGGCCTGCGCTCCGTGTGCGGCAGCAAAGACACGCTGCATTCGCACCCAGTCTTCGGGGCCACAACAATGTGATCGATGCCGAAGTTTGGAGAAAGACTGCGTGGGTCAAACTTCTGGTCCAAGGAAGAAGAGACAGGCCAAGCCCTCGTAAGTCCATGTTCATGCCTGTTATACTCTTTGCGCATCAACGCCTTGCGATAGCGTGGGGTGAGCATCAGCTCTGTCCCTGGGGAGTTCACTGCCTTTACCACTGCCCTTATTACTACCCGATTATCTTCGTCATGGTTCAACTGAAATTCAATCGCTAAACTGCTTTAAACTCATCTACGTTGGACCCACTGTTGACTCTGCTTGAACAGTGCTAGTTTTGACACGAGAATGGCTCTGCCGGAAGAGGGACCCAATAATTTGATTTACTCATCGAAGACGCCGGGAGGGGAAAGCTCAACTCTACATGGCAGTTCATCCAATGGTAGTCTGGATTACCTCGCAAACAACGATGCGGCATCATCGGTTAGCACCGGACCCCAAGCTCAAGTCACTCTGAGCCAGGACGAAACTGCTCTGAACACCCCAGCGCATGACTTCACCTCTAGCCCACCCACGGGTCTAACATGCACCTGCATGGCAACAGTAGACATGGAAGATCTTGTCCCCGTGGAGTCTGACGAGACTTTGCTGTCCATCTACAGGAATCAGCTGTCTAGTCCGTTCCCTTTTGTCATCATTCCAGCTGGCACAACGCCAAGACAACTGCAGGCAACTCGTCCATTTCTCATGAAGGTAATCAGAATGGTAGCTTCCGTCCGCCATCTTCGATTGGTGAGGGGACAAAGCCGCGCCGTTATGGAACATATCTCTAATGCCATACTCATGAGATCTGAGCGCTCGTTGGATCTCCTCCAAGGCATTCTGGTTTTTCTAGGATCCTACCACTACCATTGCATGGCTCATGCGCAGTTCAACAATCTGATCCGCCTAGCAGTCAGCTTGGTAGAAGATATGGATTTGAGTACATGCCCCAAGCCTCAACAGAGGAGGAGTCAGCTGCCTTTGGTACGTGCCGAGGAGCCCGTGTCCAGAACGAACGAAGAGAAGAGGGCGCTACTTGGCGTCTGGTATATGAGCTCAAAGTGAGTCTCGCAACGCCTGAATAGAGCTTTATAAAGGACAAAACTAACTCGATAGCAGCGCTGGCCTTGTCGTGAAACAATTAGCATTCACAAGATATACCAAATATATGGACCAATGCCTCAGAGATCTTGACGATGCTAGAGAATACAAGACAGACCAACTTGCCATACAGTTGGTCCACATCCAGCAACTCACCGAGAAAATCTTTCACTTCCATAGTAGTGATTCACCGGTGGACGAACAGCTAGGTTCGCCCCAACCTTTAACGATGGCGCGTCTAGAGGCATTCCGAGTTAAGCTAGATAGCCTCCGGAACGCACTACCCCCGAATCTTAAATCTGATTGTATGATTCCCCAAATGTTTCAAAATGTCGCCGCCGGTGCTTTGCTAACCTAGTCTGAGAGCCCAGACTTTCTATCTTGCTATCACAATAGTGCTTACCTCCGGATCTTTGAGCCTCTACTTGCAGGTTCACACCTACCAGATGCCGAATCTCAATCCTTCGCCTCGCTCTCGCTTTCAGGCGTGCCGATATCCGATGTCTTCTCACATTTCACTGCCGCACTCAAGGCCTGGCTCGAGAATTGGCTTGCCATTCCAGTCTGCTCCTACTTCTACATGCCTCAGCCTGCCTACGTCCAATTGGTCCATGGCGCCATGATGCTCTCTCGATGGATAAGAGTAGCCGGCCGCAGCGCGGTCAAGCTTTCCAGTGTCGGCACGGCCGTGTCGCAGAAAGAATTCACGGTTCCCTGGCGACCAATGCCTGCTCTCAGCGGCGTGCCTTCATGTCCAGATCTGAGCTTGCCGAGACCTCCAGCCTCACTATCCACCCAAGGCGTGTCCGCCCAGATACTCAACACGCTCAGGGCCAAGGTCACAGCGCAACCCAATCTTCAGGTTGATATCCTCGGCATCTTAGACACTATGGGAGCTCGTTTTGAGGCCGCAAAGAATGAGATGGCCGCGGCGCAGGGGGTGGATTGGGAGAATGATACATGGGACTTTGCTGCAGAACATTTGAAGATGAAGAAGGCTAGGGTCGAGAAATGGTGTGAGATGGTCGCCATGGCGGCAGGTGAGGGGAGGAGCCCGCTGACCGATGCCCATGACAGCGTTTACGAAGGGAGCAGAGAGGCCACATCAGGCTATGATTGGGACAACATGCAGTGGGAGAATGCTATGTTTGATGAGATCTTGCAGGACATTCATACCGGAGCTGTCTTCAAGCCCGTCGATTGGAACACTGGCATGCTGGTCGATTTGTGATTTGTGGGCTGACCAAACATAGAAGTTTAACGGTTAGAACTTGAGGTCTCCATTGAGCGTCCGGACTTCTCAGCAACAAGGGCCCCGGGCACTCACCCGTATGTTCTGGCACCAGTTTAAGCCCTACGATCAGCCAAAGACGACGACTACACATCTACGCACGTGGATGAAAATGAGTAATGTTGGCTCTGTGCTTAATTTGCGATGGCCCATTCCAGGGCACTTCAGGGGTGGCCAAGTTGCTGGTCTCAGTGCTTCGGTCAACGCCTGGCGCCCGGAATTGTGCATGGGCAAGTAAAAACTACAACACACCCCTGGCAAGATTCCCCTAGCGCTACCCTCTTGGCCAAGGTGGGTGTACTGAGAAAACGGCCGATTCTAAGCCCTCTCCCTCCGTATAACTGCAAATATTCTAAGTACAGCCCTGAAAGTGTGATTAGTGCATCCTTCAGGCAGGGCGGCACGGCTCTAGTCCAAGCCACATACGCACCTTGGCACTCGCTCGCTGAGGATTTGGCAGGAATTCGGTACCTTTCTCAGGGGTGCGCATCCCTATCGCGGGCTATTTTCCATAAATTCCACGGGGATTTCACGGGCCGAGTAATCCTTGGCTAAAAAGAAATGATATATCATGCCCTCAGCTATTTGCAACCTAGCTTCTGGACACAATCTTACGATCCAGTACTACCCATTTCTTCAAACCGCAGCTGAACGAAACGACCACGAAGGTGCTCTCCTCTTCTTCACTCAACTGTTCTTTGATTGACGCTCGGAGCTTATTAACTTGAGCTCCAGAACACGCTTTCACAAGAACGAACTTTCACAGTTAGAAACAAGACGATTATTATGGGTACCAAGGGTATTCCATCCTCGTTTCGCAGCTGGCAATACAGATCCACAGCAGGTGGCCTCGAGAACAACCTGACACTGAACAATGTTCCTATGCTCCAGCCCCAGGCCAACCAGCACCTGGTTCGAATTCTTGCTGCTGGTCTTAATCCAGCTGACTACAGACTTTCCGAATTCCAGTTCCTCCATAAGGTGGCCTTTCCCAAACCTGCCTCTCCTGGAAATGACTTTGCTGGCTATATTGTCAAGCCTGCGCCAGGTTCAACGCTCAAGCCAGGACAACTCGTGTTTGGAGGCGCCGGGACAAACTTTATGTACGGAGGGGCTATGTCGGAGTATGGGATTGCGCTTTTCAACAATACAGTTCCTATACCGACAGGATTGTCCATCATTAATGCCGCCGGTATCGCTATAGCTGGGCTCGCTGCTTATCAGTCTATCTTACCTTACTCCAAGCCGGGCTCGCGAGTCCTCTTGAATGGCGGATCTGGAGGGGTGGGAAGTTTCGGTATCCAAATTGCCAAAGCTGAAGGACGCCATGTGACTGTGACCTGCTCTACTGCCAGTGTCACGCATTGCAAATCTCTAGGTGCCGACGAAGTCATCGATTACAAGACACAGAACGTGTTACAGGCTCTGAAAGACTCGCCGTACAAGTACGACCTTGTTGTAGACTACGTTGGCAACGATCACAATCTATTCTGGAAAGCAGACGTATACACGAGTCCCAATGCAAAATTCTTCACAGTGGCAGCGAGTCACCACCTGAGCTTTGTACGATTTATCATGGCGGCGCAATATATGCCAAGATTCCTGAGTGGTGCAAAAAGACAGCATCTAACTGTCTTCGCCAAACCTGATCGTGAAGGCCTCTCGCAGATTGCCGAGTGGATGGTTGAGGGCAAGGTTAAGCCTGTTATTGACTCGAAGTACAAGTTTGAAGATTTAAGGGAAGCATACCAAAGATTGAAGACGGGCAGAGCCAGGGGCAAGCTAATTCTCGAGGTTGCACCAGAGGGAGAGCATGCGGCATAAAAGAAGTATTTGTGCGTTCAATTCAACTCATCGCCACGTCTATATTATCGACGAAATGATGCTCAATGTAGAGGAGCAGCTCAATTTGTATGGAAAGGTACCTGGATCAGAGTTTCTTGAATGTAGCTGGTTATGTAGATGAATCGTAGATGAATCTTTGCTACCCATTTTCTTCCATTTCACAAAATGCTCTTTGAGACATATCTCCTTCAGTTAATAACTTCTGAAACGCACGTTCCTAGCTTGATATTTTGATATCACTGCCCAAATTTTGAACATTTTTGTCCATCTTAGACGCTACATTTGTTCGGATTGTTAAAAAAGACATAGCAGTAGAGCTGCATTTGATACTCTCTTTGCTAATTTATGTACCTCCACGTAGATAACTCATTTATCAAGGGTCACCTACACCGGTGGCCAGGTTGGGTAGGAAGTCGCTGGGCCCTGTCGCGAGTTAAAAGAGCTCAAGCGATGCTGCAAGGAGCTTCTGTCTTGCTAACTGAACGTTCGGTGGTGCGTTTACAGGGACGATTACGCTGGGTCCATCGGCCTCGAAAGACGGCTGTGGGAGGTGGTTTGTCGCGAGGTACCTGCTCACGATGCCGGCACTCTCACTAATGGCCGAGCTCAATTGTTCAAGCGGCAATTTCTCAGAGATGCCATTCGACGGGGTGCTGATTTGCTGAAGAGACATACTGCAGAGACAGCCGCCAAGTTCTTGACTCGAACAGGTCATGTCATTCTCAAATATTTGTAGAAGCCATTATCAGACTTGAATGCCGCTTGCACCTATGCGTTAAGTCCCGGAACCACAGCGCACGAACCAGAATAAGCTTACTCATACGGAGTACCGTACCTTATGCTGGTAGCCACAGTCCCCGCAGTCCGCAATATAGTATAAGTGGCAGGGATAAAATCCGAGAATTCCGCGGGAAGATTTGCACACGCCGTACTTACATAAAATCCCCATACTCAACATATATAATCCGTCACTTAAATAAATAAACTGAACATAACTACAATCAACAATATACATTTCTATTCTTCTATCAAACATAAGCCGCGAAAATGTCGCAGTCGTTCCCGCAAACCCTCCCCTATCTCAGCCAGCGTGAGGCTATTGCCGACGCCCTGTACCGAGCCGCCATTGCCAGTGATCATCATGACTCCGCACTCTTCAACTCGGCATGGGCCGGAGAAGACGTTTCTATGGAAATTCATGATGACAACAAAAGAGTCCTCCAGGGCCTCTCCCTGATTCGCACAAATGTTCTCAATAGAGTTGGTCCTATGGATACCACGCACAATATCAGCATGGTCCGTGTAAATTACCAGGATAGAGCCGATACTGCTTCTCTTACTGCTACTTCACTAGCACAACATGCGTCTTCCGGCACAGGCAGGGATCCAAACGGAACTAAGTACACTGTGGGCGGGGAGTATTCCGTTGACCTGATCAAGGACGAAGCGGGTGTGTGGAAGATTAAGAAGTTGGTGTTGAATGTTATCTGGACCTCAGGCGATGCTTCATTGATGCGGCCCCCCCAGAAGTAGACACGGCTGCATAGGAGGTAGAGGGCGAGTGTTTCGGGAAGCAAGCATGGTCTTTTTACCTGTCTTTCTGAGTGTCATACGGGTGCAGCCGAAGTGATAATGCAGAGCCTCAACCTTGTTTTGCAAGACGGATCGATGGATTCGGAGTCGGAATAACTGGTTGTCCTAGTCTATAGGGATAGTTAAGTCCGTCCATTTAACGTACTCCTAAATCAATGAGTAATAGGGCATCTCTCGCCACCTCGGCGGTGGTAGAGATCAGTTCTGTATAAAACACCCTGATTGATTTTCTATCTATGTGACCTCGTTCTACTGCCTACTATTTACTTAGTAAAAGACGTAGATCGGTATCAATTGATTTTCCGGTCATTCATATTTGGCAAAACACCTAACATATTTCTTCTTGCTCCACCATATCTCTAATCTTAGACTACTGATAGACTAAATACGCGCCCGAGTAGAAGGGACACAATTACCCCTCTAATTAATATCAGACATCACGTGATTATGCGGGGTCGTGGATAGCCCCCGCGTTTCAAAATCCTCGGTTAGTGCCTCCCTGGACTAGAACTGGCCTAGTAGTACCTAGGTAGGTAGGAACTAGACTACGGATGCGGATATAGAAACATAGGGTCGAGTTACATTAGCTAGTATGCGGGGAAGCAGAGCAACTTCTCCTCTATCCTCTTTACAACTTCAATCAACTTCAATCGCCTTGTCCCACCACCGTTCAGTTCAGCTACTACGTAGCAACTCACTCACTCACTAGGACCTGAAGCTAAGATAGCCCTTTTCAACGCCACACCACGACATTCAACATGCCTATACGCAATGGCTGGCTTCCCCGTGAAGGTAAAATTGCTCTTTCTCACCAATTGACACTTATTTACAAGCCGCAGGGCTTACTAGTGACCCTGTTGGACGATTCCTTAAGAAGACTGCCTTCAACCCGGCGTTCACTATACTCTTCCTACTTCTGGCCCGCTACACAAAGAAAGGGAACGACTTGTCCATCCTTCACGAGACTTCCCACTCGCGAATCCGAAAGCTCTTCTATCTCGGCCTCGTCCGCTGGGCCTCGGGCTACCTTGATAACGGTGTGCTAAACAATTGGACAGCCGACACGTATGACTGGCACAAGGAGATTGTTTTGATTACCGGTGGGGCCGGAAGCATTGGTGGGAAGGTTGTACAGTTGTTGGCAGAGAAGGGCATCAAGGTCGTTGTGCTGGATGTTATTCCCATGTCATTTGAGACGAGTGAGTTCTTCGCCCCTGACTTGGAACATTCTTCCAGAATACCAGACTAATACACCACCCACAGCGTCCAACGTCTACTACTACAAATGCGACATCACCTCGCCTACCACAATATCTTCCATCGCCTCCCAAATCCGCAAAGACGTCGGCGACCCTACAATCATCATAAACAATGCTGGCGTCGCCCGCGGCAAAAGCATCCTCGATGCCAGTGAGAAAGATGTGCGGTTCACGTTCGAGGTTAACAGCCTTGCACACTATTGGATTGTAAAAGAATTCCTCCCCTCCATCGTAAAGCACAACCATGGTATGGTAGTCACAGTCGCTTCTATCGCCGCCTATGTGACGGTACCCAATATGGTCGATTATGCCGCAACAAAAGCAGCAGCTTTGGCATTCCACGAAGGGCTCACTGCAGAGCTGACGACGAGGTACGATGCCCCGAAAGTTCGCACCGTGGTTGTCAATCAGGGATATACCAAGACCCCGTTATTTGAGGGTTATAACAGTGATTCTAAATTCCTAGCACCGGCCCTAGAAGTAGATACTGTTGCGGAGAGTATTGTAAAGCAAGTGCTGTCTGGACATAGCGGCCAAGTCATTCTGCCTGGATTCGCGAATTTGTTGACCTTCTTCAAGGGCTTGCCGCATTGGTATCAAAAGCGGGCAAGGAGTCAGGGGGGAAGTCATATGATGAAGTGGAATGGAAGGCAGGTTCTTGATTTGGAGAAATGGAACAGGGAAGAGGGTAGTGGTGGCGAGAGCGCGTAAGTACTCCTTTGAGATAAAATGTTGGCTGCGAAGATTACCTTCTAATGCTGACCTTTGTGCGTTCTAGGTCAACGGTTTTGGTACCTCCTTCTAGCGAATGAACATATGCGAAAAACACATGAATAATTGATAATTCATTGCGCATGATAGTCGGGCTCTCGGGGTGAGTAAAATGGGGTGAAATGAGTTTGCGGTATTTTGAAGTACGCGCGCAAACTCTCGTGGTATTTCTCAGTGCGCACGATTTCCATCCCGCCACCTTTTCCCCCTCGAAAGGTCGGTCCTTCCTTCTTCGCTTACTGTATTATCTAATATATACGACGAACTACTTTTTAATTCCACATATCCATCCACATTTCATTTCTCGCTGCAGTATATATAGCAGCAGCCTATCAACACCACTCATCGGGGAAAAAACCTGTCCAGGATATTCCTGGTTTCAGTTGACGTTTCAAAACCCCTCCCACAAGCCGTTTCTATTCCATCACACCTTTATACTCTTTATGACTAATATAACTTCTCACGTTTCACATGGTCGAATTTTGCGTCGTGATGTTCTTTTGCTGTCAAGTCCATTTCTGCTGTCAAAGCAAAGCTTACCATGTGCACGTTTGGAAAGAGTTGGTTTTGGCCCTGGATTTTAGATGTGGTGCTGCTGCGAAGCACCGAGGTGGTGGGGGGTTGGCGCTTGATGCAATAAGCAGGGCTGTCGTCGGGTTTTAGACCTAGTCTCCTTGAATTTCTTGCTGTTTCTATGTGGGATTGTGTTGGGGTAAGCTGGGAGGCTCTGATTCGCTATTTATTGTTGTTTCCTGTTATTTCCCCATGTTCCTTATCTTTTAACAACAAGTTACCTGCCTCTGGCTACCTTCCTTTACCTACTTTACACGCTATGAATCCGCCTTGATCATATCCTACGTTTGTTTGTGAAAATTGGGTCTTGTTTATTACACGAGTTTCTTTATTTCACGCGAACAAAGTCATTGTAGCTTGGAAGCCCAAGAACAACGAAATAACTTTGATAATGAACAATGGAGGAAAGAAGCTCCAAAATCAAGTCAGATGCAATGTCTGAAGGACTGTTGCTTTCAATCACAATCTATATATGCGCGATGCGGGCTGTGACTCCCATATGTAGCATATGCTGTCCTTCTTACCCTCGACCATCGTTGACTACATATTTTTGACAATATGCTGAAACTTTTCTCTTGGATGAATGATACCACTGGGACTGTTTGAAACTTTCACCTTTCTTACACCCAATGACCTCTCCGCAACCCAGAGTTGGGAACAACTAGGCAGTGTAAGAACAACCCAAGAACAAATCAAAACAGAAGTTCATAAGGTATTTATTAAAGATCAGACTCCCCTCTTCTTCTCTATTTGACTTTCCTCCACATTAAATTTTGAAGGGCACGCCTGACCGTAAGCCTGAAGAAAGCATAACGAGAACACGGTATTTGCACCGCACCACCACCCATCATGTCCGGACGACGATCCCAAACAAATCAAACACGCGAAGCACGTCTGCGCCACTTCGCCAGTCAAGTCAACGATGCATCCTTAAACGCATCCGTCTCACCACCTCCTCAAAGAAGCCAAATACCAGACAGCTCCTATGTACGCGAAATTCAAGCACAACTAGACGCTCAGCTCGCATCAAATTTGCAGACGGAAGCCAATGGTAACCCTAAGTATGATGAGATCGACCGTCGTATGGCAGAAGAGTTACAAGTACATGGTCCTGTCGACTATGAAGACGATGATCGCGCTTTGGCTGAAAGATTAACGGCTCAAGATTATACAATTCACTGGCATCGCGGTCTCCCAGCCCAAAAGCATTCTAGGGATCGGCAAAGAGATTATTATGAGTATGATGAGTATGAGTCTAGTGAGGATGAGTCTGATGATGAAGAGCTTAGGCGTGCGTTGGCGATCTCGCTGAGAGATACCATCTCGCCCGAAGGAGGGAATTCAGGGGCATCATCTGCTCGTGCATCACAAGCAAGTCAACCCGTTCCACAACCTCAACATCAAGCCGCGCCCTCTAATCCCCAGCCAGCACCAGCACCCACGCCACGTGTTTCGAGACGGCACCCTGCCCGGCGCAATCTCCCACTAAACTCGCGCGTAGCAGCAATCTGTATGCTCAGCGAAAGCGCCGACCCCGCAACCATCCCAGACGACGAAAAGGACTGCAATATCTGCGCCACCACCTTCGGTGAATGTAACGACCACGGCGAAACCGAACACCCTATCCGTCTCTCAGGTTGCAAACACCTTTTCGGCAGTGGGTGCATCCACCGCTGGCTCCGCGAAAACATCAGCTGTCCGCAGTGCCGGCGCGAATATAGCGATGACCTACAAGGCCACACTATCAACCCCGAGACCCAGGACGAAAAGTTCAGGGAGGCGTATGATGATGCTATGAGGCGGGAAGACTTTATTAAAGCCGAGGCCGCCGGGAGACCACTACCAGCGGAGGATGAGAATGAGGATCCTTTCTTCGCGGAGCCGAGTATGGAGCAGTTACAAAGGGACGAAGAAGAGAATCTTCGGTTGATGCAGGGCCTGAATTTAGGATCATCTGGTCGACGAGGGTCATCTGTTCGGCGACGATCCTCTCCAGGAAGTGCACCAACTCAGAGCCAGTCAGGTCTTCCGCGTGGCCGGCCCCCAGCCCTAACAGGCTTCGGCATGGGGAGACCCGGCAGAGCTTTGTCGCCCCAGATACCCCTTTATACTGAGGAAATACCTCGCGTGACAATTTTTCCATGGGGTAGTTCCGAGCGTGGTACTAATCGAGGAACCACCAGGTCTTCTCCCCCTGTGTATGGGTATGGCGTTCAAGCAGACCCGCCGCCACGTTTCGGACCGGATTTCCCGTGGTCTAATAATCCCGACTATGATGGTGACGGGCCTCCAAACTTCGGCCCAGATCTCAGGCCTGGTACTAATCGCGGGAACACTCGGCCTTCCCCTTCCCCTGTGCATGGATATGAACATTATGCGATACAGCCGCCACAAGGGGGTTATACATCTCATCCACGTACACCTCAATCGCAACATGGCCACTTGCAACGACATCACCCGCAACCGCGTTATGAGCATTGATCACTGCAAACGAGATATGATCCTCCAACCCGCTACCATAGCAACCACCCCGGACAATCCCCCCTACGGTATCCCGTGCTTCAGCCAATGCCTACCATTGAAACCCCGCATGGCAGTCGGCCGTTGACTTCCCAGGAGTACATAGAATTGGGGATTGCGTTTCCGAGTGATCCTAGAAGTAGGGCACTAGGAGGGAGAGGTAGACGATGAATCAAGGTAAAGTCTGTCGGAGATGGAGTTTTGGCTTAGGTGGAAGGTACCTGATGTACTTTACCTTGGTCTGTGAATTTTAAATATAAATATAAATATTAATAAAAATAGAGCCCATTTTGTTCCATATCCCGCACGCATGAATGAACCTAAAATGAGTAATTGTTTTATAGTATAAGATAGAGCTTCAAGGGCTCTAGACATACTTGATAGGAGTCTGCGCTATGCTAGCGCTCATAACGGCTGCTAAAGATATTAACTTTTATCTAGTGATTATTTATTTACCTAGATTGGCAAAGGGTAAGGGGTGTGATTATAGCCATTTATATGTGGGCGGAGTTAAAATGGGAACCTAAGCGAGATGTCTGTCTAAGTTTACAGGTGCGGCTGAAATGGTATTTTATGGCTTGCTGCAGGAAGATTTGGTGGAAAATGCAGTGATACGAATAGAAATGTTTGGAAGAGAGGGGTCAACACGTGATACTATGTACCGAGTAGTGTTACCTGAGGTGGGTTACGATGAATTTCAAACCAGCATAGACATACCATCTTGCCTCGACTCGAATCACTTCACACACTACTGAAGCAAGTATTTTCGCAGAGCACTCGCACCGCATCGATATACCATTAGCAAAGCCCTACTCCTCAGCATGGAGAATACTACCCCACGGCTCAGGCTCAATTCCTTACCTATTCGAGCACCAACCTTCTCCTTGCGTAGTTCGAAAACCTTCCCGAATGCACCTTACTTCGATTGGGATAAGCTACCCAGATACCAGAAATTCGAATCGCTAGGAAGAATGTTGAGAAAATGCATGACGGAGGAGGCTGGCACGAACAATAATAAAGGGTTTCTACCGCCGGCAATTCTGGAACACATCCTGTCCAGGGAAGTCATCGAGCACGAACTAAAGAGCCAGGAATACCGTTACACTGCTGAAACTGTAGACGTTATGTTTCAGACCGAAGAAGAGGCGCTCGATGATTCTGCGGACTTTCCAGGGGGTACAAAGACGTACTTTATTGTTTTCGCTACTCTAGCTCTGTTGGATAAGGTTTGCGATATATACCAGTTTATGGAAATGAAGGATACGAGTCTTGGTGATCAAGATCTTCCTAATTTGAAACTGCATCAAGACGAAGATGGCAAAAGGGAACTACGGCGCGGTGAAGAGCTGCAGCAAATGCGTTGTTTCGATGGCTTTGTGGATCATGAACTCGAGTCTTTCGATGACTACCAATGGCGTCTACGCGTTCCAACTTTCGCCCTTGGTCCTAAAGAAACTATTAGACATTATGATCTCCACGATAAAGACATATTGCCCTGGTATGAAGAGCATTCGGTAAGCCAAAATGAAGTCATGTCTGGCGGCTATGGAAGCGTGAAAAAGGTGAAGATTCATCCACTTTGTCACGATTATCATGAGACTTTGAAAGCGGTGCGTATCCGTCATTTTGAAGATCATCTTCAGATCATTGCTAAAACTGAGTTATTATCACTAGATAAATGTTTCCGGTGGACAGTTTGCCGTGAAGACACTGAAAAACTCAGACGCTATAAAATTCCAGGACGAAGTCAATATGCTTAAGAAGTTCAATGGCCTTGTCCACGACCACCTCGTCACGCTGCTAGGGACATTTACGTACAAAGGACAGTTTAGCATGATATTTCCTTGGGCTGAGTGTGACGTTGAGAACTATTGGTTAAAGATAAACCCCATGCCCAACTTAGAGGATATCGAATTTGTACGCTGGGTATCTAGGCAGTGCCGAGGAATTATGGAGTCTGTAAATGTTATTCATAACCCCAAGCATCCCGAGACTCTGCCGAAAGAGACACTATATGGACGCCATGGAGATATCAAGGCCGAAAATATTCTCTGGTTTAAGTCACCAGACGAAGCGGACAGAGGCATTTGGGTCATCTCGGACCTAGGGCTCTCTACGTTCAATCGTGAAGTCAGTCGCTCAATGGTCCCGAACCAATCAATACTTTACACTCCTGGGTACAGGCCACCAGAATGTGACATTAAAGGTGGGAAAATCTCCAGAGCCTTCGATATCTGGACTTTGGGTTGCTTTTATCTTGAGATGACATGCTGGTTTCTGGGAGGACGGAAACTGAAAGACAATTTCGAGACAGATCGCACAACAACCTATATCACAGGAAGTAGAGCTGACATATTCTTCGACCTTGAGCTCAATGGAGAAGACAAAACAAACGAGACTTTCATAGCGCTCATCAAACCGCAGGTTGTCAGGGTACGTCCCCTTTCTCCTTCCTAGGCGAAATCAGGATATCCTATCCCTATCCCAATTTTGTGAATATGAGGTGACATGAGATGCCTTGACGCAGATGATCGACGATCTCCACAATCATCCCAACTGCACAAAATATATCCACGACATGCTTGAAATTATAGAAAAAGACATGATAGTTGTTCTCAATCAAGAACGCACGAGATCTCCGAAGTTGCTCAAGAAACTCAACGAGATGAACCAAAAATGCATAGATGATGTGGATTATTGTATGAAGAAGACACCAGTCAAGCGAACGTTCCAAGCGCCAATTGGAACGGAAGCAAGGCTCAGCGAAAATGCAATGAACATGGTTACGAAGAATAATATGCGGGGGAGATTGTCGACCCACGTACCTAAGAGGCCGGTACAAAAGTCGCCGCGAGTAGAGGAGCTGGAAAATGTGGATTAGTCCTGGTAATGACAGAAACGGCCAATTCCATTTTGTTTTAACTATTGACAACATAATATGTTCTTATAGTAGATTCTTCATCACTGTGACCTTCAATGCGCCGTATGGCATTTCTTGCTATGTTGAGGGAACCTAAACTTTGATTGTCTCGTTGGAATAGCGGATTCTAAGGCGTCTTTTCCTACTACATTCTGGCTTCCTACATGAACAATTAGACAGCGATATGAAATAAAATTCGACGCTTTCCCATGTTGAACCTTTGAATTTGTGGCGCAAGAACTAATCAGCTAAGAACTGTCTGTATCCCTCCATTTCCCTCCCTATCTGTTCAAGGTCTTCGTGTGGCCTATTCCGCTTGCAAATAACACCAGATCCTCAGCCTCAAATATCGCTACCGCCACATTGCTGTATTGAAACTCGCAAATCGAGACCAAACTTATCACCGAGTCGGTATATAATCATGAACCTGGTTCGTAATGTTCTACCTGGGCAGCTTCCGTCAGGCGGGTAACCTCATCCTTTACACGAACATGTCAAAAAAAGTGAACCAGGACATTTGCAAACAAACAATTCGTAAAGAGAGAAATACATACTGCTCGTAGTTGTCGAGGGATGGTGCACTGAAATCGGCCACGTTTCCACTAAGTAATAGCATTAGTCGTAAGATTTTCAATCGTGTCTCAGGTGGAATTTCTCACAAGGATGGTAGACTTGCCCCAACCGAAGATTTGGGTGAAAAATGTCTCTAATGTACGCTCTTCGGTATATGTTGCCCTAACAATAACAATGACAGCCATTCTAAGCAAGAGACAATAAGCCGAGATCTAGGAGAATAGGCTAAAAACAATAACTGTATATGCTTCCTTTCACGACAAGGAACGAGAATGGCAAAACTGAACAAGTTAGACGGGATTAAAGAAAAAGACATCATGTTTTTATTGCCCAAGGAAATCCTACCGTTCTTTTCCAGTGTCGGTGCCACCACAGAATGCTCACGGCGAAACCCGGAGGCGTCGCGGAAGGCGACATGAAAATCAACGAGGCGCGCAGCGACCTGCGAACCCAGTCAGCAGCCTGGTCTGCCTTTCGTTTCGGTATGCCGCCATACTCGGAGGCGAATCAGTAATTGTAACATGCATTATGCGCTGTCATGCTACCGTATAACACTTGAAGGTAGCAGAGAGGATTTAAGCATGATATCTCGACGTGGCCAGATCGAAATGGTCCTCTCCCCCTATCTTGTAATACACGCTTATTAATGTAAATTTGACGTTAATTATCAGGCGAAGGCCTAACCTCTTCGTATGTAAAACCGTAAAGCCAAAAGCAAGCTTGTTCGTGAACACTTTTTAGCCCAGCTTTTCCACCATGTACTTTTATTTTGAATTTGACCACTGTTTATTCAGGTGCGCGGCTAAGAAGTACTCGTAAGGGTCCGAGGCTACAGGTGGTCTCCGTAGTCTCTACAGGGTACCGAGTACGAGTACCAGGACACGAGGGGCGTTGAGACCAGCTCATCACAGGGTGCTAAGCCTTTCTTGGCTTCGCAGCCTCACACAGCCTCACTTCTAAGCATCAACGTTAAAAACAATTCTGAACGTACTCATACATGCACACTATCAGTTTGAGAAATGGACTGGGCTCAAGATGCAACGGGTATTAGCGATAATGATTATCGAAACGTCTATAGGTACGAGGAGACGCACACCACCGTTGTGCAGATGACAACTGGCGAAAAGGTGTGAATCGTGCCTCAGCTCAAGTTTTCTTTGACTGACAGAATGGAAGGAACCGTTGATATTGTCCCTAAAGTCAGAGGAAGATTGGGTTTCTTGGTTTCAATCAGTAATACTGTCCTGCACCACCAATAAACGTTGCTGATCACGCGTGTAGGAACAACGGCCGCGCATCTGTGGACCAAAGCCTGGCTACGTTCTACTGTATGAAATACTTACTAACCAAAGTCCAGTGCTTTACTAACCGCCAGTTTAGCTTAGCAAAACGCACGGGAGAGCGTCCATTTTGCGCTCCTAGCCGAGTTGGATCAGGAGAATGGCTGGACACATACAAAAAGGAGATAGCATCCATATCTAGAACTCAAAGAACCTCGACTTTTGCTTCATTGGCAGAGAAGAGCCCAACGGATGGCAGCAGTCCCAAAAACTTACTAGGAAGCGGAAGACGGGGTGTACGCACACTTCCCTTTTCAGAGAAGGTGTTCCGAATGATCACAAAAAACTTTCACACGCATGGGTCTATATCCCGTGTCATTAGTCGAGCAGATGTACAAACTTTCTCCTGCTCTGAAGTTGAGATGGGAGAATCTGATGGACCGACTTATATGGCAGATGGTGAGCTTCCTTTGGAAATGAGGGGTCACGTTTACCCCGCACTAACAGTTCCCGCAGTCTATAATTGTCGGACATCAAACGCTTGGGATATGGATCTTGCACTTACCGCTACTTGCTTCCCTCATTGCGGCTTGACGTTTGCCATTTTGTTCGGTTGCCCATTATCTGTCGAAGAGGAAATCATCAAACGGCTGTCATTTGCAACAGCCGAGGCGGCACACCCTCTATTGTTGCCTGGCATATTTGTCGAGCTGGAAAGGACTCGGCATGTTCACGTAGTTGAAGCCATGATTGACGAGCTTGAAACCAAGATTTTTGAATTGGACTTCCACACAGGCGAGACAGAATGGGCACAGAGTTCAAGCGCTGAGAGGAGAAATCAGGAGAAGCGGACGGCATATCTTGATACTGCATATCTCAGAAACGGACTTATCAACTGGAGTGCGCAATTATTGAAAATGGTTCAGCATGCAGAATATCTCGAAAACAATGTTTTCGCTTCTGGAGATTTCCCTGAAACGACCGGTGCTAAGTTCAACAGCCAGCCTTTTGAATTGCCCATGGTGTCAATCAGTCATCAGAACGGAGATGAATCGAGCGATTGTTCTGTTGCCATGCAAAAGTATAGTTCTCACCCGACAAATAAACAAATGCGGAGAGTTGGTGGTAGGATCAAGGACCGCCTTCAAGCCATAATTGACGAATACGAGGACAAGATTCGGGACTGTACTATGCGAGTGGATGGGATGGCTATGGCAACACAATGGGTAAAAAGGTTCTAAAAACTTGAAAATACCGAAGCTGACTTCAGGATCTTTGATCTAGGCTCAAGGTGAAACCAATGTCGAAATTGCTCTTGCTACTGGCCGTGACTCGAGGCATATGAGATCCATTGCCTTGCTCACCATGGTCTTCCTACCAGGAACCTTCTTTGCGGTAAGTAAAACAGTCCATGCGATGTGGAAAGCTTACTGAGCTACCTTCTCTCCTCTTAGAGCGTATTTTCTATGACCTTCTTCAACTGGTCCAACTCGGACGGTAGCGCCGAAGTCTCGGGGTATATCTGGATCTATATTCTTGTCACCGTCTGTTTTACCCTTCTCACAGTTGGGACTTGGTATTACTTTGTCATTTGGCGGCAATCGAGGCCAAGCAAACCGAAGTCAGAAGAGGAGGCTCTAGTTTGATTACAACTCTTCGTCATTGAGGCCAATTATAATCAGTCTGAGATTATATGTCTGCAACCTACCAAAGTGTAGAACTTGCTAGCGAGTTACGAGGCTACTGGTTCTTCCTCCATATTCATATCCTCATCCGATATTCTTTCAGTCGCCTATCGTTGGCAGCACGTCACTTTTATTGGGAGTCGCATTTTGTCGGACTAAGCTGCTTACATAAGCCTCTGTGGGATAAATCTCTTCATCACACTAGTCTGTCCTTCTCTGAATACACACAATTATATGCCCATCACGTCTATGCTAGCTGTGACCCTAATTATCGTCCTCTCTGTGACCAGCATTGTCCAACACATTTGAGCACACTCTCTAGTTATGATCTTAGCAAGTAGATCATTTCAAATGTGGTTTATGTGATAGAAGTTTATTGATCTAGTATTTTAGGCATTTGAATTCCATACAGCTGTCCCGAAACTGCAGAAAGACCGTCCAGACTGGCATCCAGTAAAATACACGACGGACTCAGCAGAGTTTCACTCAAGGGGTCCATTTCTTTGCTAAACCGAGTCAACGATATTTGAAGGGGATTGTTTCGAACTGTGTAGGAGCTGCTATGTAGTAGTATGATTAACCGCCGAGGTGTACATGTCCTGGAGAGGACAGAGATCCAAGTGCAGTAAATTACTCGAGCATTAGGGTATACAGTGTTAGGCATAGTACAGGTCTCTTTCATTCATCATTTCTACTATGCAATAGTTTTTATTCGGAAATTTATCAATAGCCCTGGTTCAAGATGCTATGTCCCAAAAGAAACCCGAAAAAGAAGCCTGCTTCCTTCAACTACACTTCGCCACACCTTTGGAATGCAAACAAACAATACTAGCTGAACAGATCTATCTTTACAGGAAATGATAAAGAAAAACAGGAAATATGAGACCATGTTCCCTTCCAAATCCATCTATGCGACTTATTCGAATGAAAGAGGTATTCCACGGCAGTAGGATGGATCGAGTCAGGGGCTCGAACGGATTTGACAGGTGGGAATTGTGGATCCGGTTCGAGGCAGGTATTTGAACCGGCTCATGAGTTCATTCTGATTTTGCGACTTAGCTTCTGAATCCAAAACTCATGCTAGGCTCAACTTACCAAGTCAAACTCTTTAGATGTTCGGATGTTATAGACATTGTGACGCATCTCCACTTTGTACTGGCCTGGCCCAAGAAGGTCTTTCAGTTCGGTGGATAGTCTGCGTGGACTTGACACGTACTTCGAGTGCAGGCTCCTTTCGACAGTCAAATCGTCGAAGTGCAATTCGGCAGCGGTTGACATGGAGACTCGGAGGGCGACGTAGATAGTAGTTAAATAGAAGATACTAAACTAAGTTGCGATTCCAGGAGAAAATCAAAGAACAAGGATTAAGTTAAGTCCTTACCATTTAATCTTTCTGGCATCAAGTATTAAAAGATGGCGAATGAAGAGCAACACGGAACCCATTTGTACAATAGCGGAATGACTCTATTTTGGGGCTATGCCGTATCAGGGTTTCACAGTATATGACGGGCGCGCAATCCAGGCGCTGTTGTTAGGCATTCAGAGCGCAACCTGACTAAGGCTTTTCATCTGTGGCCACAAGGCTTGGGAACGTGAACGAATATATCGTATGCAACGTCAAACTCCCGTTGCCTCTCTTTGTTCACCGAATCATGCAATGCAGGAAGGGTTGAAGACTCTAATCGAAGCCGCACATACGGGATGCCGTAAAAGAAGTATTGGTCGAGGGTAAGACGCAAGTTGGCTGCATGCAGTGTAATTTCAGGGATTCATGTGGATGGTTGCCACCACCACGGCGATGGCGGAGCCAATCAACGTCTTAGCCAGTCCACCTTCTTTGGGGGCTTATCTTTTTCATAATCTACGCAAATAGGTTCTAGTTGTCAGGTGTCTGCTCCTGCTCTGCTCCTCAGTGTCGAGCAAAACCAACAGACTAATCTTAAAGATACCAAAATCAACTGGGAAAAAACAGCGCAGACCTTGTGCTTTCTTTTCCAAAAGTAAATATTGGGGGAGGTTATAATAAATTAACATATTTGACTGATAAAATGTCTCGTCGGGAGAGCGCATGGGGGATGTGTCCGTTTCCGCAGACTCACCATCGATCCCTTTTTATAGGCATTCGTAATCACTCACCCTAATCACTCACCCTCAACCCACACCACAATGACATCCAATGATGGATAATTTATATCAGGAAGACAGTGTGCATTTATAATTTTGGCTCCTATTCAGCTCCATGCACGACTATGGACAGAGGTAGGCTTTTTTGAGATATGTGTGACGCCACTCGCGAAGTATTGGATAATTGCGCTTTACCGTCTGCAGATGTAGTCTAATTTAGATACCACATTCTGAAATTCATTGGAAAGCTTTAGGATGATACTGCAGAGGCTGAGCTGCTTCGCCAGAAAGAGCCCGAAAAAAGGAATGCTTCTCCAGCCTGGGGGCCCCAGGCTGAGGCTTACTTCCCATCACCCCGAACAAAGGAAAGCAGAGCCCCGATCCCCACACAATAAGGATTCTTATATCAATTTTATAGCCGCAAGGCCCAATAATCTGCTAAATTGGCGTGGCAACTGTCTGTCTTCACACTCGCATCAATCCAGGCCAAACTCGATATAACCTCCAAAATTCCTAGAGCCGCATGCCGTATCTTTAACTTAAAATTTTCGAATGGGCTTTAGATGATAATGGAGGTACGTCTACTAGTTCCGCACTCAAAAGAAAATAGCTAACACTGGCGAAGCCGAACCGTAGGGCAGAATATAAGGAGGTAGGCGTTCCATCCCTCGGCACCAGTACGAGAATAGAAGCACCAGAGCGATCTGACAGATTCCCTTGCAGAACCACTCGCTCCCAACAATACCATGGCACAAAGAGGCAGAGTTTCAAGCTCCAGGATTATCCTCCCTCAGACCACCAAATGCTAGCAGCAATTCCCTTGGTGTCCATACCTCAGACTCGGACATCAGCAGTGTTATCAGTGACCTTGGTGATGCAAAGCAGCTTGCCCAGACCAGAGATCGCGGCCATTTTAGATCTGCAACAAGGACGGGTCTATTGGTTTCTCACGCTGGGACCAGCTTTCCAGACAATACAAACCAACTTGGCAGCATTGACTCCGATATTTTGCCCCAACCAAAATCATTGGAACATCAAGACAAAAAGAGTGCGGCAAGAAACACGTATCAGAACCTGGGACGCAAGATTCGCTTTGCACAACAGATATCATCATGGGAGGGAGAGGGGAAAAAATTCTTGCCATTCGATAAACTTGAACAGCACACCACCAGAAAAGCGATCCATGAGGAACTAGAGCAACAGGGAAGTGACGCCTCCTTAGTAAATGAGATTTGGGAGGCTGGGCAATTTCGAACATCTTCGTTGACTACACGGCGCAGGATTTTTGCTATCCTTGTTCTACTTGACCAAGTCCCCGCAATTATTGACTTCATCCGCGAAAATATTTACGACCGTGACCTGCCGTTTGTCTTCCAAGAAGGAACTGGCGAGCGTGAGGGATCCTACAATGTCTATCGGAAGGTGAAACAACGGAATGGGGATCCCGATATGGAGATCGAACTTCAGTTTTTCCAGAAGTGGAAAGATGTCACCCTGGAAGCCTTCCATCAAAACCAGTGGCAGCTACTGGCGCCATTTTTCTCCTTGGCCTCCAAGGATAGCACGAAAGTCTCGCACTACAACCTGGATAGCCATATCGTCCTTCCATTTGTCGAAGACCACATAGTGGATGAGCCACCAGCACAATACGGTGGATCTGCAGAAGTCAGACGTGTCAAGATCCACCGGGCCCACCAAGACTTATACATGACCGTACGTTATTTTTTGGATTTCTCCTTCAAATACTAACAGCTAACTTTGTGTCTCAGGGCGACGAGGCTGATAATCCTTCGTTTGCGGTCAAGCGACTTTCTTCAAATGATCCCAGTGCCTTCGATAACGAGGTTGAGACCCTGAAGCTATTTAGCGGGAAAAATAAACACCAACACTTAATCAATCTTCTCCTCACCTATCATTACCGAGGCCATTATCATCTCCTCTTCCACTGGGCGGATGGCAATCTATTGGATTATTGGAAGACAAGACATCCGAGCCCTCATACTCCCACAAGAGACGGCAAGTTCGCCAAATGGGTAAGCAGACAATGGCTTGGCGTTGTAGAGGGGCTTCAAGCCATTCATACCTACACCGCAGACCCCAACCTTCCATTTCACGATACACAAGATCCTATTGACCCTCGTATTCACGGACGACACGGCGACCTCAAACCAGAAAATATTCTTTGGTTTAATAGACCACATTCCGCTGAAGGATCTACCGACCATTTTGGATCATTTGTGATATCAGACTTTGGTTTGACAAGGTTTCATCGTGAATTAACGAGATCGCGGGTCAATCCGGAGACACTTGGTTGGTCGCCGACATATAGACCACCGGAGTACGATGTCCAAAAGGAAGTATCCCAGAAATGTGATATCTGGAGTTTGGGATGTGTCCTACTCGAGTTCCTACACTGGTATCTTCTTGGGTGGAAGGGAGTAAAGGATTTCCAAAACAGCCGAATCGACGAAGGGGGCAGTCCTGAAATGCGCTTGGATGGCTACTATAACTACATCGAGGACGATCCGTCGCAGAAGGGTACCAGGTTCAAGAGATCGGTAAAGAAGGTAAGACTTGCCTGAAGTTTGTCGGAGATGCCTCATACATTTAAATGTGTTTACAGTATTCCGTCATTCTAATGCTTTCTTAGGCTTTTCAACACCTCCGTAGTGACCTAGGAACCACTGAGTTCTTCCTAGAATTCCTTAATCTAGTCCAATTCAAACTTCTGCGCATGGACCCTGCTAAAAGAGCAAGTTGCGGGGAGATTGTGGAACTTTTCAAGGAGATCAATGGAAAGTGTTTGCGGGAAAACGGATATTGTACTGTGCCGATTCGAAGGCCGAGGCGATCATCAACAGACCTATCAGAATTGATGGCGACTCCTACAGCCCCCCTCCGACAACCTAGCATGCCATTCCCAGAAAAGTATAGTAAAGTCAACGAAGCTCCGAATGTTAGGTTAACTACGCCAAATAGCCGTCATCTTAAGCACGAGACTATAAGCGCACCTAGGGCACGGGAACTAGGAATCCACACAGGAGAAGTAACACAGCCGGCTCACAAGCTAGAAATCTCTAGCAATCCTATAACGAAAGCAACACCAATAATTGATGATGTGGATGAGGGGGTTGACACGAACATGGAGCAAGATTCACAAATAAGCTCACCCAAGAAAATACACTTCGCGAAAGAAGACTCGGGTATTGTAATGAATAACGACGATACTGATGAAGACTATTCTGGATCGATCCAGAACAAAGAAGGCATGTCCGACGCTGACGCCGGGAAACTGACGGAGGAAGAGCAAGACGCACCAAAGCATAGCTTCACTGTTCGAGCCAGCCACTCTCCAGATTATGGGACATATTCAACGCAGGACAAGCCAATAGAAACAAGACTGGTCGATACAATGGATTCCGGAGAGCAACGAGCAATGGAACCAGCGAACGAACAAAAAGAACAAAATATGAATCAAGATACTCTGGCCAACAATCATACAACTGATCAAACAAGCCCTCAAGCTGCATCTAACTCGTCTCCAACTGCAAGGTCGGCCTTCATGCTTAACCACTCCGGTTACCACACGATGTCCGGGTTGGCGAGCACTAGCCTTCGCCCAAAACAGCCTCATGAGATGAGTTCACCCGACTCACCGCCGAACGCTTCAACAGAGACAGTCGAAGATGAGATTTTGAGACCTCTGTTGGGTAGATGCCCCACTTACGACGCCGAAAGCTCAAGCTACGAGGAGAACGAACACTCTCGCTTGAGAAAGTGGTATAGGGAAATACTTTGCTGTTCTTGAGCTTTCTCGGCACAAAGCCTGACGAATGGGATGCGATACCATATGTGAACACCACGAGGCACGTTAAGGATGGCCCTAAGGAGTGGTGTCATCGACTGCTTCAGGCTACTGACGGCAATCGGTACGCTGTCAGTTTCCACATCTCGTAAGAAGGCCGCGGGGAGACGTGCCAGCACACTTTAGGGGAGGCAGAGGAAGTATGCTATAGTGAGAAGGGAAGTATACTGCGCTCGTGAGTAGGGAAGCACAATTGCGCCCGCAATCATACCTCGCCTTAGGAAGGGAGGTAGAGGGGAGAGGGGTAGAGAGGCATAGAGAGCGGAAATGCTATAGTGAGAGAGAAACATAATTGCGCCTATAAGGGGGGAGATGACTAAGAACACGTGTAGAAACGCTCCTACTACTGCTAAGCCAATTAGATTTGTTCCCTTGCTCCACTGCTAATAATTATGACTAATTAGATCCGTCTATTTCATATAGCATTAAAAAAGGACTCTATTCATCTTTTCTAGCCCTGTACCCCTAGTTAATCCACCAAAATCTAGGTCACGCGTTAGAGGAGTAGCCACTAGCGCTGGCAACTAGCGCTAGCAATCAACGTCAAAGTTGAAGTATATCTTCGGTTGGATGCGGGAATGGAAGTCTTCGTTATACATATATAATCCGGGATGTGTAGTGACTTACCAAGAGTGTAAAGTGTAATTTGTCAGCCCCACCTGTCTCGCATCCTTAGATATGTGGGGCGTTTATCGTTCATCGAGAAGATAAGTGGTCTGTAAATCACGTCGTGGGAATAGTACTGTATTTGTCGGTGGCAGATCCATTGATGGGCTTAAACTAGAGAGTAACATTGCGGGGAATGAAACAGTAGGCTTTTCAGATCGGAAGACGGAGCGAGTCGAAGCGTCGGGAAGCATTTGAACTCCGGCTGTTCGGAAACCTCAGACTGAACAGTCATGCAATTGTTGGCTTCTGAGGCCAGCGATGGGTGGGTCTCCATGCTAGGTAAATTGTGATGGATAAGCGGCCTGCTTGGAGGCAATGCTTAAGTATGTAGGACTATCTATTAGACAACAGGTGTGAAAGAAGTCCGTACTCACCAAGCACCGTAGTTTCGGTCAGAGAACGCGATTGTTTGAGGGCTATGCGAGATCTCCAAGTCTAACTTGTGATATTCCGCTAAGCAGAATTCTGATTAGTTCTGTTGGATCTTAGTAAGTGGCCAGCTTTTATCTTATAGTATGAACAGAGTTATGTTGCAATGTAGAAGTGTAGAAGTAGGAATGGACATGAAGTTAAAAGTGACGTAGCCGTAAGCTACCTACCTTACACTTAGCGTCTCTAGTTAGTTTTTACCTATATGCAGTGAGCGTTAAGAATAGCTGATCAGATACTACATATTACGAGATGGCTAAGTTCACCCTTTTTCACCTTTTATATTACACCTGCCTCATCTCTCGTGCTTGAGCCTAAAGCAAGCCTTTGCCTAAAGGTTGTAGGCGCAAGTTTTAGGTATGATCAAGTCTATATTAAGCCACAGGTCACACAGTTACTATCAGTACAGGCATTTAGTTTAGGAACATTAATTTTAAAAATACTCTTGTTTTTGGTGTTTCTGCTAGTGACTATCTTATATGTTTTTCTTTGTTTCTGTCAGTGCTGCCACTGTTTTCAATAACCCCATTCCTTCATTTCTTCTGTAGACGCAACGCTGAATCCTTCCCTAAAGTATGCATCCAAAGTCAATCAATCACAAAAGGACTGTCTCATCAAGACGCTCCCACCCGAGTCTAATGCACTCTGCCATCTAATATCAACCTTTAGCAACTATCGACCCTAGTTGCACTGGCAATTGCATGTTGGTCCTTTTCCGAACCCATATCATGTCTTCTCCGTCGGAGCTAGCATATACATGATTTGGACGGTAGGAACAGACAATGGTACCCGGAGGAATTTTGAGTACCTCTCAAACTTGGACTGTACCTCTTTCTGGTCAGATATTAACTCCCTAGGCACCAGATCATGCACGGCACTCATGTTATGGCCTCGCTCCTTCGCCTCGTCTAGGGTGATGAAGTCGAAAGAAAATCGAGGCGAGGAGGTCTGTTGAAATGTTTTTTCGAGGCTTTGGAATGTGTCGAGCTTTCCGCCAAAAACAACAAGCTCCTCGATATTGTAGAATTCCATGAGATCAAGATACGTCCATTCGTCATGATAGAAGGTAATGTTGCACAACACCGCTAATCGACGCAGTGGTACACCACTCCCCAATAGTGAAATCAAAGAATTCTGGAACATGAATCTTTCTGGAGATGTGCCCATGGGGCAGATGAAGTCAACTTCAAAGTTCGCATATGGCTTCGTTCCGAAAGACGGACCCACAGGTTTTCCTTCCAGCGGGATTTTGTTCCAAAAGACAGCCTGTAGTGTTCAAGACCGACTGTGCGCGCCTCGTGCGATACGTGAAGTATTGGAGGAATTGCGTTGTAGCTCCTGTATTTCGGTAACCGTCTGCCCGAGGGTTTATTATCTACAGCCTCCACAACTTCCCAGACATCGATATTGCGAGGAATGTAACCAAGCTCCTTCCAAACCTTAAGACGAAGCTCTATGGGGAGCTTGTCGAAGGTAGTCGGAACTTTCTTGGTGTTCTTCTCTTCTAGCTCCATGGAGCCTAGAAGACTGGAGAGGTGATTGTCCTCCATTGTTGTGCTTCTGGTGCGCTTGGATTGAGAAAGTCGAGGTTTCAGGGTTGAGTTTTGTGTGTCTGGGTACAAGTTCGGTGATGTCGAGAGGTGGTTTTGATCTCCAGGAACATTTTGTGGATTTTTATAGAAGTTGGGAGGTGGTTGTGCGGAAGTTGTAGGGAAGTTGTTTTCTTATTGTTTTGCAAAAGATTTCGTTGTTTTTTCCGAAAGCGGAAGGAACGACTTCTTGTGGATGAATTGGCCCGGATTCACCGACTACATGCTGTTTCTATTTCATCTGTGTCCAGACTATCCTATTGTTACATTACAGTCTTCGCTGTGTGTCGGTGCGCTTATTCATTCCCCTGGACTGACTGAAAGTCAATATCAACATTGTCCACAGGGCATTTTGCAGCATATCCTAGGACTGATGCGTAGTAATTCCCAAATTCACTAAGTCTCGTAGACAGAAAAGAACACGCCTCACATGATAGCATTGGATAGGATATAAGATTTTGTTTCTTGACTCTGAGTTCTTACGTGCTAAAGTCTTAGACCCAGCTGGTGCAGCTCTCATTAACAGGAACAAGGTTTACCTAGCCCTATCCTTGGGCTCGAGGACTGCTACTACGAACTGTAGCGCTTGAAAATGCATCGATGTGCTTCTTAGCCGCTTTTCCTTCACCATCTTCTCCAATATCGCTTCTCGTGAATATCCACTCAACTTGCTTCGCAAAATCCAACCCTCTATGCTCAACCTCGTGTGTACCAATGTCGCTCCGCAATTTTCATTCCAAGTACTCGGGGCGACCAGTCTTTCTTATACATATCATGCTCAGGGTTATTCAGTTCTTCGAATTGGCCGCACAAATCCTCGAAACGCCCGTCCATATTCCTCAAACGCACCTCGAGCTCCTCTTGATCGTCGTCTGTCCAATACAACCTCTGATTCTGGGTACGATGATCATAACTAAAGAGACGAAGATCCATATATAATTGAGATCCAGTCTTCATCAGTTCGGTAAGCGGAGGTTTATTTACGAGAACGTCCCAGATGATAACCTCCTTAAAGTCCGATGACTGGAAGTATTCAATCAAGAGGTACAGTTCGTGCGAATCAATATAAACATAATTTTTGGAGAAACCGAAAACTTTAGCGAGGCGCCGAGTTCCTAGGTCTCATATCACACATGCAAGAGTGCTAATGAAGTAGTACCATTGATAATTGTTGGCCATTTCGGGCAGTTCATCAAGGAATAATTCATCACAGTCTAGATTGACGTAGATTCGAAGTGGGAATGAGAATGTAACTTCAACGCCGCTGATGTGTAGGTTCTTGTCAATCTCGAATTCCAGCGAGTAGTTCTCAAGCGCGGTAGAACGACTCTCATTAGACGTGTGAAGTACAGAGGGAACAGGCGTACAATTGGCATATCTAAAGATGGCATTCTCTTGGTGGTCAGAGACTTGATCGAGGAGCAACATCGATCAACCATCTTTTGTTTCCAGTGTTTTCAGAAGAACAGGCGATAGGTCAATCATCTGGGTGTGGAAGCATGCATCCTTCCAGATCTTGCGGCGAAGCTCGAAGGGAAACTTTGAGAAGGGAGCGAATGTTGATGGATCGTTTCGGTCGACGGCGTTTCGGCCAACAATGGCGTGATGATAAGGTTTGCTGTCTGAACCTTCAGTATACTTCCCCGCCACCTTCTCGCCATCGTTGGGACTAGAGACATCCTTAACCCCAAGCTCCTCTTGAGCAGATAAAGGCGACCCTGGAGTAGCCGTCATGGTGCTGGTAATTGCCAAATGCGCATCGATGGATAAGGTGTGCTGAATCTCGCAGAGAACTTGAAGTTATCGGCAAACAAGATGACGAGGCCTGTAGGAAGCAGGAAGATGCCGATTCGAAAAGACAAAGCGACAGGAGGCTAAGAATTTTGATCCGTCAAATGACCACTTCTATTAACTCTGCGCGATTGGACGTTTATTGGAATATCAACGTAAAACACGTCGGTGTCAAATATGGAGTGGGAATGAGTGTGTCAGTGTTAGAGGCCTGCCCACCAAGCCGGTCATATGAAAGGAACATACCGTGAACCAAAGTCCTTCAGCTTCCCGAAAAGACATGCAGATATATATCTCGCTCGTCAATCTGACTGTCAAGGAGAACAATGAGAGCGAACGAACGAATGAGGAAGGTATGGGAGGCGGGCCGGTAACCCGGATCAGCCTCGCGCTAGTGTAAGCGAGACCTACCCGCTACCCCTTTCCCACAGCTTGACCAAACCAAAGTGACGCTCATACATGGAATGCCAGCCGAAGATCAACCGTCATCATGATTCGCATAAGCAGAAGGTTGTTTTCCATTTGGGATCCTGCCGAGTCTGCAAAGATATCTACATCTTTACCCCCTCTTCGAACCTCATATGCATGTCCCAGTCCTACAGCAAAAATTGGATGTCTCTTTCCTCATTAGAGCAACTGGCAAGACCTTTCTTTCATATAAGTACAAGTGATCCTTTGAAACATGGCCGCCAGAGACTCTATTGCCGTACAAGGTAAGTGTTTGACTGTTTCAAAGTGCAAATTTAACTAGCATATCAGATGTCATCGAATTACCAGAAAGACAACCGCAACCTGAAGAATCCATCTCAAACGAAGCACCAACCATCCGTAAAAGCACAAACTCCCCAGAACCACCCTCACCACCACCACATCAGCTCCTGAAACTTCTCAGCGCCGCCTTCTCCTTCTTCGCAGCTGGCGCCAACGATGGTTCTCTCGGCTCCCTCATCCCTTACATCCTATCCACCTACTCCATCTCACCCAGCTACATCTCCCTCGTCTACCTAACCACCTTCCTTGGCTGGTTCCTATGCGCCCTCACCTCCCCATTTCTCACCACGCATCTCTCCCTTCCATCCCTCCTCACCCTCGGCGCAGTCCTGCAACTAGCATCGCAAACTCTGCGCTCCCTGCCCATCATATCCCTCCCGCTCTTTGCCTTCACATTCTTTCTAACAGGCCTCGGCCAAGCCATTCAAGACTCCTTCAGCAACACCTTCGTCGCAACCCTAAACCTTGGGGGCACCACTGGCAAAAGCCACCGCTCGCTCGGTCTCATCCATGCCATGTACGGCCTGGGCCTCCTCATAGCCCCCTTCACCGCAACCAGCATCGCGAACCGCGCCAGTCCCAGCGGCGGCAATAAATGGGAACGCGTCTGGCTCTGGCTCACGGGAATCGACATCTTGAACATCATGGGCGTATTATACGCATTCCGCGATTCGGCTTGGAGGATTTCTACGGATGGGGAGAGGGGGAATGGTGTGCAGGACGATGGGGAGGTAGAAGGCGAGAGGGGAAATTGGAGCAAGTGGAAGCAACTACTCGGCATGAAAAACTTGTATATCCTCGCCCTGTTCTTCTTCTTTCATCTAGGCGTCTGCTCTACATCAGGCGGTTTGTCTCCCTCCCCATCAAACCCCATCAAAATCCATTTTCTCCCTCACCCCATCACCTTTCAACCCCCACCTCTATCTAACTAACTATCGCACCCTCCCTTCTAGGCTGGGTCGTCGAATTCCTCGTCCGAACTCGCCACGGCGACCTCCACAAAATCGGCTACGTCCCCTCAGGTTTCTACGGCGGCCTCTGTCTCAGCCGTCTCATCCTCGTCGAGCCCACGCACCGCTACGGCGAACGCCGCATGCTGCTCCTGTACTCCATCCTGTCTTTCGCTATGCAGTTGGTATTTTGGCTGGTCAAGGATCTCGCGACTACGATTGTGATGTTTAGCCTGATGGGGTTTTTGATGGGACCGTTTTTCGCTGCTGTGGGTTACTTCCTTTTTCAATATTCTCTTTTCCTTTTCTATCTTTCTTTTTTTCTTTCCATAGTTTGACATGGAAAATATTAATCAGAACTAACGGTCATACTCTAGGGCGTATCCGTAGCATCTAAACTCTTTCCCCCCTCCATCCAAGCCGCCGCACTCGGTTCGTTCCTCCCCTCCTTCCTCCCACGATCCCCAACTAACCCTCTCCCCCTCTCTAGGTCTAATATTCTTAACCGCCCAAGCGGGCGCAGCCATCTTCCCCTCACTAATCGGACTCATCGCCGCGCGCGCTGGCGTGCAAGTTCTACCGCCGATCGTAGCGGGTCTGATTGTGGCCATGGGAGTTACGTGGGGGTTTGTGCCAAGGGTTGAGCGGGTACATGAAGAGTGAGTAGAGTCGGGGATGGATGGATAGAGGGATTGGATTATTGGTCCAGTTTATGGAGGTGGAGAGGGAATGAATAGATGGGTTGAGGATGGATAGGGTGAGGATGTGTCGTACGCGAGAGTCGAAATGGAGATTGAAAGAATGGGGTGAGTTTGGTGGGTCTTGCGGATTCGTTTCGTTGTTGAGGAATGGATGCACGGAGACAGGAAAATAAACAAGTATAAGTACAAGGTCCGTGTAATAACAACCACGATGATTTATCTACTTGAGGAAGAAAAAGCAAAATGGAAGATAATGTCAGCTAAGCTACTTATTCATACACAGCAAAAGTCCATGCGGCAAGACGCCCAAAATTGCAAAACAAAACATACATACATCCCATACCCATATACTGACCGACATAGTCACAGTATCTTGCCAATTTTCTTCTCACGCCCACCAAGAAGCCCCCGAACCAAATCCCTTCGTAGCAGCAACAACATCAAAAGGCTCCACATCAACCGTGCTATTCGCCTCTTCCAAAAACCCCTCAATGACATCCGCCGCGATCTGCATCCGATCAGGCGTCTCGATATCGTTGCCATGAATGATAGCCACGTGCTTCTTGTGGTGTCCACACGTACACTTGGCCACACAGTCTCGATCGTAGGTATAGGTGATGACATCGGAAGCAGTCATGAGTGCCGCTTTAGCGTAGGAATCCCCAATCTCTCTTCCATCTTCCATGTTGTCGCGATTGGCCTTTGATTTTAGTGCTTCTCTGATGAGAACAAGCAGTTGCTTGCATTTTCGGGACAACGTGACTAGATCCAGGTCTAGTTTGGGGAGGAGATTGGAAATAGCATCGCGGAGCTGCTCGAGCTTCTGGATTTGCGTGAGTTCTCGTTTTCTGGACGAATAATACTGGTTCTTCGGCGTGGTTACCGCCGATAAGACTTGTTCCGGCGAAGAGCTCAGTTCAAAGCAGTCAGATAGGGTGGTACATAGCTCGTCTCTCCGAAGAAGATTTTCGCAGTTCGCAAATGTCAGTCCCCAATCTGATCTTCTAGCATCGTGGGCAAATTTAGAGGCTGGAATCTTCGCGATGAAGCACAATCGGTGATACATTTGTTGCTTCGTGCTTGGAAAGCTGCCTTTGAACAAAGGCCCGATGTGAATGCCCATAGCGGCTTCGAGATTTGGCCACCGTCCCTGGATCAAATTGAGTTGTTTTACAGCGTTGTAGATATGCGCTACCCCTGCGAAGTAACAAAAGAAGTTTGCTGACTCGATTTCTATCTCGTGCATTCTGATGGAATTATATAGGGACTCGAGCCCACAGTACAAGGGATTCTTTTTGTACGTGAAACAAGGATCTGCCGATGGGACAATGACATCGGCTGGGTCAACCTCGTTAGGGATACATTGAGTCTCGAGCAATTGTTGTTTGAAGCCCACAAGCGGGTTTTTCTCGACAGCTTCTTTTATTCTCAAAGACAGCCCAACTACCTCTTCGACGATCTCTTCGGCTCCCCACTCATTTGTCTGCTGATGGCTACACTGATCCGGCAGCAACATAGCAGTCGAAGACTTTGTGTCAAATTTGATTGACCAAGTAACGCCCAGTATCGATGATATTCGAGCGCTTCTCTGCCTCAAATCTCTCCAGCTATTGGCGATCCGATCTCCCATAATCTTGTGGATGTCCAGCAAAACGCGTCCAGCGAAAACACATTGAAATCGAATACAATTGCTCCCCGGAAGTACATCAAAAGCGTCCGTGATTGCATCTATGATTGGCCCATGATGATCTTTGAATGTTTTGTAGTGTTTTCCGTAATATCGATTCTTGATTTCTACTTCATGAAGATGTAGAGAAAGGAGTTTGTCTTCGGCAATCCATTCTTGACCTGATGGGGCCTTGATTCCAAGTACCCAATATATGCCGCTGACGGGCATTGTCCAGGGGAGATGGGTCCTTTGGTTCAATGAGCTATGTCGAACATATTTTTCGATGGATACAAATGTGTTTATGTACATGTAGTCGTCCTCTAGCTTAGCACCGTCGTGGCTGGGAGCCCCCTTGAGACCCGACTGCGAAGAAACGAACTTCGATATAGAACTGTATGGATTCCGGTGGAGTGGCTCAGGCCAGATTGATACAAGTTCCCTTTCGGCTTTCAAAACACATTTAAGTGCAATGTTCGTTACCGTGGATGCGACCATATAGTTCAACTGTCCATCTGCAACGCTTTGCCATGTCTGCTTTATGAAATCCCGGAGCTTGTGAATATCGCCCAAGAAGCAGCAGACAAGGAGCGGCAATTCCTCCTTGACTCCTACCTTCAACTCGTATGTATCTGTTGCTTCAGGACCTGACTTATTACCGGGTGCCTTTTGCCTCGTGATGTTTGTCGCCTCCTCCACCAAAAGGTCTACTGTCTTCTCGTCAAGCTCTTCAAGTTCCAGGGTCTCGAAACGATTGGCGGCATCTGCAGGCGGAGTCGCGCCGCGTAAAGTCTGGGCTGGTGTGGAGTTGGTCGACCGAGATGCCTTTGAAGACTTTGGTGGGGTAAAGTTCGGACAGAGAATCTTGAATGCACTCTCAAGAACCGAGGTGAAGTGTTGATGGGTTGTATTTGAGACATGCACCGAAGACTCCTCGTCGTCCATGAAGTTCTGGAACCACGTGGTACACTTTCTGCGAGTGTTGATGGCACGTTTTAGAACATATTGGGTTCCAAGGGGTACCTTCACCCGAGGTTTCTTCGAAGCAGCAACGAACTCTGCCTGGCACAGCAACTCTTTGAGAGAAACAATGTGATTTCTTGAAGGTAATTGAGGTTTGGTGTTGGATTTGATGGGATTCCCCGCTTCTTTTGCCTCCTTGCGGGCCTTGCCCTTCAGTCTTGTGCTTTGCCCGCCGCCATTTTGTTCCCGTAGGAGGTATTTGGATGCGGCGATGCTGTCGTCTGTTGATACAAGCGCATATCCACACGATATCGCCGTGATCGAGAGCCAAGTCACGAAGGCATTGGTATCTGCCTTGTATTCTTTGTAGCTCTCGCTGAGGCTGTCGGGGAGCATTTTGGAAGTTGATTTGCAGATGCTGGATGTCGACGAAGTTAGCAACAGATGGAGATGAGAGGTAGCACTTGAAAGCCAACTGCGGGAAAGCAACCAGGGAAGGAACGATCGCGATGGGTCTAGACACGTGTTCTCGTAGGTAGGGTAGTCAGTTTGCTAGGATGAATTGCAAGACTTGTCCGCAGGATGGATTAAGCTGTTGTTATATACTGTACGCACGTGCTAGTACAAAGGAAAAGTGAATACCACGACATGTTACGGCGGCTGCTTCAACGTTGAGCTTTGTTTGTCTACATTTTTGAAATCTGCCAGGCGCAGAAACAAGTGGAAAGAAACAAAGAAGCCATCTTCCACCGACAATACGCAGTTCACACAAAAGAAGATGTTGATGCACGGGTGTACATGTATCAGAAGTGTACCTAGGTAGGTAGGTAGTAGAGTTTCTCCCAAAGATTCTTCGGGTCGCGGCAGCGTTAGGATAAATGAGGCTGCAAACAGCACATCATGGAAAACGAAGTATGTTAACTATGGGAATACACATCTGCAAACAGAAATATCCGTGTCGCCTCGCTCGAGAGGACAGACAAGATGATTGTTCGACACTCAACGATGTTAAGGTAGTATGGATATTCCGCGATATACTACTCAACTATTCACTCATGGTAGTTGATTGATTGGTTTCAGATGAAAGTCAACATGAGGCGGATGGAGTGAGATAGGTTAAGGTAGGTTGAGGGTGAGGGTGAGGTTGAAAAGTGATCATGTGACGCGACCGCGGGGCCGACACACGCTACTCAGTACTGATCCCTGCAGGAAAACTCCAAGCCAAGCCATCAAAAAGTTCTTGCTAGAAAATCCGATAATCAGAATTTCTGTTTCAACCACCTATAATGCCTCGCCAACGCTCTAAAAAATTATCTGCAAGTCAAAAGACTGTGCAAGAGCCTGTGCCGGCAATCCACAATGAGGACGAACAATTTGGAAGCGATAATGAAGATCTCGAGATTTTGGAGAAGGATGCGCAAGAAGAGGAGCTAGACAAGCTGGTACTTGGGGATGGGTCAGCCTTCATGGCACAATTGGGTGGAGGAATGGATGTGGATAGCGAGGAAGGCTCCGATGTGGCAGAGGAACTGGAAGATGAGAATGACGGTGAGGGGGGCTTAGAGGGAGTCGACGATGCAGACGTAAGGACAACCCCACCAATTGTGCATTTATCCTGGACTAACATGTTGGAAGCTTTTCTTCCTCGACTCGGGACCATCCGCGGTCGATCCAAGTGCTTTGATACTAGGCTCTGATGATGACCACGAAGGAGGGGCGCCAGCTTGGGAGGACAGCGACGATGAACGGTTAGCAGTTTCACTCGCCGGGAACTCTCGATTACGAAAGCTGCGAGTTAATGAGGATGAGGATATTGTCAGTGGAAGGGAATACACAAAGAGGTTGAGGAGGCAGTTCGAGCGCTTAAACCCAGTGCCAGAATGGGCGCTTCCTTCTGCACGACCTGCAAAACGGAGGCGCAGATCGTCTGCGGCCTCAGATTCTTCAATATCATCAAACGAGATGGATGTGGATGACTCTGATCTTTCGACTCTACCACTCGCGCGATTGCTTCAAGACGCTGATTCTCTTACAAGGACACCAGTAAGCTCAACGAAACGACCAAAACTCCGCCCAGAAGTCCTCGATATTCAACGGTCCCGCGACATACCCTCACAGCCATCCTCAATCTCCTCCTTATCCTTCCACCCCGAATACCCCGTCCTCCTCTCCTCAGGCCCAGCATCAACTCTCTACCTTCACCACATCGCCCCAAACGCGCATCCAACACCACATCCCCTCCTAACGTCCGTCCACGTCCGTCACACACCCATCCACACTTCCTCATTCCTTTACCCCCAAGGCGACAAAATCTTCTTTGCAGGCCGCCGGAAATACTTCCATGTCTGGGACTTGCCGTCCGGAAATATCCAAAAAGTAACGCGCGTGTATGGACAAAAAGAAGAACAAAAGAGCATGGAGAGATTCAAGCTCAGCCCCTGCGGACGATACATGGCGCTCATAGGCTCATCACGCAAAGGTGGCGGTACAGTCAATATCCTCGACGCAAACTCAACCCAATGGATAGCGACCGCACGAATAGAAGGCAAGAACGGTGTCGCTGATCTCGCATGGTGGAGTGACGGGCAGGGCCTTACTATTGTCGGCAAAGGCGGCGAAGTAGGGGAATGGAGCGTAGAATCCCGCTCCTATATCGCGCGCTGGATAGACGACGGTTACGGGCCTACAGTCCTGACCCTCGGCGGCAAACACGGCCCCAGCTCACTTGGCGGCGATCGCTGGGTCGTAATCGGCTCCCAAAGCGGCATCGTCAACATCTACGACCGCAAGACCTTCACTTCTCCCAAAGGCGAACTCACCATCCCCGAACGGCCAGAACCAAAACGCAGCTTCGATCAGTTCACGAAGCCGATCAGTAATCTGGAGATCAGTCCTGATGGGCAGCTCTTGGCGTTTAGCACCAAGTGGAAGGCTGATGGGCTGAGGTTGGCGCATCTACCGAGTTGTACGGTTTATAAGAATTGGCCGACGGGGAATACGCCATTGGGGCGTATCACGGCGGTTGCGTTTGGAAGGGGGAGTGATCTTTTGGCGGTGGGGAACGAGGGGGGGAATATCAGGTTGTTTGATATTAGGGCATAGATAAATAGATACCTGCAATGAATATTGTCTATACACCATGCCAATGATCTTCCTCGCTTTATAACTCGCCTCGACTTATTAAACTGGAGAAAAGTAGGGTGTAGATCACGTGTTCCGATACCTCTTCCGCCTTCATATCACATCCCCTCCCCGTTCCTTCACCCCTGGATTATGCTTTTCTTCCCTAGATGTATTAAAGTCCTGAATCCCTACCATGTTTCATTTCATACCTCCCTTTCTCAAAGCACGTGCCTACTAACACCAGAAAACCACTTTCCTTGCTCCGTAGATCATCGGTGGGCCTGCTCCACATCTAGTGTTGCCTCGAAACTTTATCTCAACGACATTGTAACTCCTTGACCTAGTCTATCTATCTCCCAACACCAATGACAATATATAAAGCTTAAGAGACGGCTTGGTTTTATTATAAATCCCGTTCATCTTCCAAGTCTGGAAAATTGGGTGCGGCTAAAGATAGGTACAATGCACCGTACTGTACTCATCTGATATTTCCTCGCAGAGTCATACATTTTTAAAACAAAGAACAGTACACGAACCATGTTCTGTTCGCTGAACTCGCTGTTGAGCTGTAAAACTTCTTCTCTAGCCCTCTTGCTTGGCCTATCTCAGCTAATATAGTACGCCATGGTACCGTGTTGCACGGTTCTGTGGCAGGTAGTTGGAGATAGTGGATGGCTGGCTGGGGGATATTTGAGATGGGGAATGTGAAAAGTGTAAGATATGAGCATTGAAGCTGAAGCATGTGGTGACGACTACCTTGATTGCTCCCGGGGTAAGATCTTTCACTTCGGCCCAAAAGTCGCTTCGTGGCCACGTACGAACTTCTGCCCTGACTCGCCTCGCCTCAACTTGATGGCTGGTAGTGTGATACTTGCAGCGCTCACCATGAGGAATGGATATTCGGCTCCCGATAAAGTATAGGAGGGAGGGAGGTGGCGAGGTACTGAGGAAGTGCTTTCAGGGTAGAGTACCCCTTTCATGCCTGCTTCTATTGCACTTGCAGCTTCAGTTCAGCGACTGTTGTGTGTCGTTCGTTCCCTTTGTTTTCTTCGTGACCAGGGCCCAGCTATCTGCACTTCCAGCGATAGTCATGTACGATGCACTTGCGCTTTCATTCCTTCTCTTCGATGCTCTTGCCGTAGTGATCTCACCCACCCCAACTTCAGTTTCCCCATCCTTCTCACTTCAATCTTGCCTACAACTCCGCAACCAATAGTTGTAATGCCACCCTCCATCCATCCTTGTTTCTTTTTTATGGCTCGCTTTAATTCTTTCTTCTGTAGTCTCCAACTGCTCCTGCGAGTTATGCTGGTGTAGACCGTGTCCTCGAGGCTGGAATTGCACTTGCTTTCTGCTCTTTCTGACCGTGTATCCAGCAACTCGCTTTCTGCCTTTACCAACCATGTCATTTCGAAACTTGCTTTTCACTGCACCTAATTTTAAGCGCTGGAAATGCCCTTTTCGACCGCTCTCCCACTTGCAGGCAGTTTACGTTGGGACTTTGCACGCTATCCACAAGACATCTCCACATATCCTTTCCACTCCGTCTTCCCTGGAAGGCATTGGCATTTTGCTGTAGCCTCCAGTCAGGCTCACAATATCAGCCGTGATGCTTCATCCCGCCTCGGATGACCATGTGTCGTTTATCGTCTATCCCTCATGGCTTGGCGGCCTCCAAGCTCTCTCCCATTCGTTATTGTGCTCTTGATCTCTCATCTTTCGTATATATTCTCAAGTTGAGAGTTTGTAGATGCTGTGTATGATCGAAGAATTCGGCGGGTGGTAGACAGTGCTTCGTGGGTCTTTTGTTGTGCAGATTATATGTAATGACCTTGCTTGGTTACTGAATGTGGTGCCAATGTGGTGCTCGCCAGAAACTATTAATAGGAGCTCGGTGGCTCGGTTTTTGGACACATTGTACGCTCGTGAATGATCTTCGTGCTCGAGGGATTCTGTTGAGTATCAGCGCCGAACAACAGACAAGCAGAGCCGTGGAATGTTGAAGACGGCGAGGCCTTTGGTCAAACAAAATTTCCACATTCCTACAAGCATTTCCTACCTCCACATTCTCGACATGACCCTACTTCTATTAGCATATTTCCAGCTCAATGATAACTGTCCAACAAATGATGCATACTTTCGCGGATGTGTATCCTTCCCGCTGTCAAACGATACCGCAGCCTTGATGTCTTCGTGCCATACTGTGCTTTCATCTGTTGTGCCAAGCCTATCGCTTCTTCGATGTGCGTTGGTCATTTGCGCGCTGGTTGACGCCGGTTCAATCATGTTCATGTTCGTGTTCGTGCTCTCATGGTTTCTGCATGATTACGACCTCTCTTCGCCTGGTATTTGTTTGATGCAGTGCTTAGCTTGGCCGTGTTTCTCCAATTGCCTGACGATTCTTCTTGCGCTGGCACCATCATTTTCGTTTGTGTTTGGATCTTTACTTGCTCGTTCGTTTGCGCCTGTCTGAGGGGTAGGTAGGCTTGCTGGAGGTCTGCTATTAGGAAGAAGAATAAGTACTACGCCCTTTCTTCTGATGTCTGAGATTATTAGCATTCTGCTAGCTATAGGAATATATTTTGGATACACTTACTTGAATACAGGGCATAATTTGTATAGATTGAGACTTTTGCGGGTAAATTTATGCTTCGGCAAGACTGGAGTATATTAGTATGCTCGGTCGTCGGAAGCAATTCAAGTCATGGGGGAAGAAGAGCTTAACTATGCAGGCACGATTATAGGCCGAAATAACCATGGTCAGTAAATACCCTTCTCCGAGAGTCTGCTTGCCGTTTATTCATTCTGACAGCTGCTTGAAGAGAAATTAAGTCACCAAGAGTCTCTCAACGACTTATTAGGTAGTACTTTATGTTCATCGCATATCCTTAGCTGCTTCCGTTGCAAATCGAACCTCGCTTGATCGATGGAGCCTTTGCATCCACTCGCAGCGCGTGGTTGCCGCGTCGAAACACCCTTCCGAATTGTCCAACATCCATTGTAGAACATCTACCTTTCCGCTGTGTTGTTCGCTATAGCCTAATCTCCTTACACGCCAGTCAACAGGACGAAACTTTCTATCTCCTTCTCCCCAGTCGCATAGTCGCATCAAAATGCCACCACAACAACCAAACCATACCATAGGCAACTACAAAGCGTACAAAATTCATACCGATCAGTTTATACGCTGGCTGGCTGGCAGGGCGGCAGCAACAGGCTACAAGGACTCCAGTAGCAACGCCACAGCTGATTTGCGTAAGAAGCACAACGCCCAAAATGGCAAACAATTTTACGGAACACCTAAGAATGTTGTCCCAACAAGGGCGCTCCTTGCTCAAGCCCAGTGGATTATGGAACACTCTGAAGGCCCTGTCAAAGTTCCCGCTGACGTGCAGTTCTCGTTGCAATTCGCTATTCTGCTCCGCAAGGCATGCGTGGTCTACTTTGGAAAACTACACTCTAAGTCTAAAGAACCAAAGAGTTTCAAGGTAGCAGATGAAAACCATCAGCACTTTGTCGCTATTCTTGAGAAGACCAGGAATATCTTAGAGCTTCCTGACACCCAGGAGAAAACCAAAGCCGACAACGTGTCCTCCTCCACGTCTAAATCAACCACCGATAATCGATTCATTCCCCTCTCCATCGAAGAAACTCTCTTGCCTACTCCCGAAAGCCTTCTAATACCGGTCCCACCTAGTGCCACTCTCCAGGAGAAACCAGTTCAACCAACGCCCACTATTCTTCGCAGCGACCATTACGAACTCGAAGTGGATGGAGTATCAGAGTCTTCTTTAGAAATCTTCTGCTTACTCCGGGATTTGTCCGATCACAGGAGGTTCTTGAAGGAAACTTGGGAGACCACTTATGACACCCAGTCCGACCTGATGGTTTCATCTCTTATCACAAACCTTACTTTAGACCTCGTGGATAGGGCAGAGCGCAACCTTATGGTGCCGAATGCCCAAGGAGGTCAACTACATCCTTACCGGGAGACGTACATAAGCTCTAGCGCAAAGGAACGCCCAGGTGATATCTGTGACAGTCAAGATCTCAGTGACGAGAGCTTGATGAGGGTCATGAGTGATGACGAGTTCGTGTACAGCTCAACCTACAACTCCCTGTTCACAGCACACAACCGTGATGTCTTCGAGTCCCTAAAGGGGAAAATTCGTTATACCCTGCCAACTTTGCGTTTCGTCAAGGAAACTTACGACAACATTTTGCGCCACTTCAAGCACCCTTCGAAGTGGTCTGTAATACCATCCAATCCAGATTGAATGATGAGGACATCTTTCTAAAGCAGATGATGCTAGAGTTGTATTTCAGACATCCTCTAGCAACAAAGAGCGATGCTTTGTCCAAGGACTCGAAGAATCGATTGCCATTCCGCGACAAGTTAACCCAGAAATTGGAAGATGCCTACGAAAACGTAGTTTTGGATATTTCGACCATTTTTAGCGCTCAGGTACTTTTGGATATTCGTCGAACGCTTGGTTCTCGTACTCTCGGAGCATTTGAGGAGCTTCGCAGGAGAGGGGCAATAGCTGAATCGGCTGTGGGAATCAAGTACAATAAGGTCGAAGGAAGGAATTTATCGAAGTCGGACATGATTACAGACACTGGAACGTTAAAGCGAGACTGGGTTGACAATAATCTACTTGGTATAGCTTTCGACTTCATTACTACAGTCAAATTTGTGATTGGGGATAATCCATTCATCGCCTTGAAAGGATATGCAATGAGTAAAGGAGATGAACTTAGTAAATCAGAAGCTGCGAGCCACCAGAGCTTCACCGAAAACATCGATATCCACCCCTCGCTTGATCCTGCGTTCTGGTTCAATCAACAACCGATTTATTGCGGAATGGAGTCATGGAAGCTAGCGGTCGAACAGGAAAAGCTCGGTGTCAAGTTGGTCAACCTCTCCACTGCGCTTCTTGCAGCTGGGTATCTATATCATGCTTGTGCGCGGTTGGATCTCATTGATGCAGGTTGGGTAGAAATGGAAGTGGCTCTGGAAATCCACAAGGATCAGTTATTCAAGGGAGAGTTCCCACTCAAGATCGAGAGTATGCTCACGAGATTCAAGTTGAATATTGGGTTCAAAGCCCAGGACTTCGCGAAAAACAAAAGAAGAAAGGAATTCCAGGGCATCTCGACTCCTTCCCAGAAAGAAGATCATTTCATGAGGCTATCGCAGGAATCCCAGCACGTCGCGCGATACCTGGAGGGGAAAGACACGGCAGAGATCTTGATCAAGAACTTGTGTCCACAGCCGAAAAACAGATCTGGTATTCAGGAGGAACCACGCTCGAATATTGAGATGTTGACCCAGCTACGAGAAAAGCTTCCGGCCATCATACAAAGAATGAATGTCGATCTCATCACGATCAATCGAAAGTCCCGCCGACTACTAATGCAAATCAGCGAACGCTACAAGTCGGAGCTGGGAATCGAGATCAAAAACACCGATATCACTCCTCGCATGTTTGTCGTCATGGTTATGGATACTCTGAACCAAGCCAGCCAAGTCTCAAAGCGCTCCCGTCAGTCTAAGGGAGAGAAATTGTCAGTCAAAGAAATGTATGGTCCGCGACTCACCCTTGCAGCCGAGGTTATTACGGAGATGTTGCCAGAGTTGAATTGGGAGGAGCAGGTCCAGCCACTCCCCGCCGTGTCTGCTTCTGCGCAGCGTACAATACATAAATTGTTTGGAAATAAATAGATTCAGATGGTTATGCTGTACGTTTTCAAGGATATTGAAGTGTTGGTATACCCTATTAGAGTTGGGTATAGAATAGCATATTTCTCATTGGAAAAAATGTGCTTTTACTGTTTATCACTGCGAGTACTGAATGTAGCTTTGTTTGTGATGTCGATTGCGTTGCAGGGACAGCCATTTAGATGGTGGGGTTGGAAAGCTACGATACAATGTTGATGAATGCTAGACGGCTTTGGTCCTCAAACCATAAATTAGCAAATCAAGGCTCCTGTCATGGTTTGTTAGAGCATCAATATAAGGGCTTTATTGACTAAGGTAATTACGCAAAAGCTTTAGAAGCATAGAAGTAGGAAGTTGGGGATAACCTCAAAAGCACGAGCTACTTCACAAGCGAGTCAGATCCATAACGTGATAGCTCCTCCTCTCTATAGGTTTAGATCAAGCCTCTGGTATGGTTTCAGATTGCTCCTTAAGCATGTCCGCGGCCTTTGTAATACTTATATCCAAAACCATAAGCTTTCAGTCACCTTCTACTCGGTCCACCCCGACCTGTCTTGAGGCCAATCCCCAAATATCTTCACAGCTCATCATGCCAACCGTCACTATCATAAATTTGCTCCGCAATATCAATGACTGGCGGATTTAACCTATATTCCCTTGCTCTTCTCGCCGCCCCTACAGCACCCACCCATCCCGGCTTGATATCATCCAGAAACCGATCGGAAAACTCCGGGACGGCTTTTATAATTGCCTCGCGCACTTTTTTGAATTCCGAAGCCGGTGCATCGCCGCTGAAGATGATGCGTTTGAAATCTGTAAGCTGGACGGGAGCGCTGGAGGGTATGGAAAGTTCTTCGTTGATCAGGGCTTTGGTGCGGAGGCTTAGATATTCAAGTCTCTTTGGCTGTGATGATTGATTAGCTGGTTGTTTCCTTGGAGATTGGATAATTCTGCCAGGGGATAATATAGCAATGTAGTTGAAAAAGCATGATGCGTCGCGCGCTTGCTGAACACCGTTGGGGTTTCAATGATAGAAAAGGAATGTTCTTACAGAAGCAACTTGTTTCGGCCCACCAAAATCAACTATTCGAAAATGCCTTTCGATGTTAGTAGTTCTTTCCGTAATGGCAGTAATTGACGCCTTGAGCACACTATTTTGATAGTCGAAATGTAATAGGAGATTCTCTTCGTCGTCAATATCCGTTCCCGCAGGATAGCCAAGTGCTTCCGCGGTATTGAGCCCGTATGCTTGTCGGATGCTATGGAGATAAGGCCAGACTTGCGTGCCGTCGTTCATGCCAGGTAGTATTTCTATGGCGATGTCTAATAGGTTACGGAGATATCCGTAGTCTACAATGTACGCCGGGTAGGTGATACCTAGTATTTCCACCTTGCGGTTGAGTTTGGTCTCGGTTGCTTGCTGAATGGAGGATAACACTACGGTTAGGAGTGTATCTACTTCGGGTTTCGTGTATTCTCGGTTCTCACTGTGCCTTGGTCAGTAGACAGGGTGTGGGAAGGGTATATATTGAACAGTTACATACTTCACATCGCGGTTGATTTGAAGAAGAGAACGAGAAAAGTCCTTCCAACCTTGTGTCGTTTCGACACTAGCCGTAGTTACGAAATCATCATTGTCCGTGATATATGCCGATGTTCTTGATAAAACGTTAGTAAAAGCTGGTATTTCTTATCTGAAACTATGCTGGAAGACTGACATATAGTCTGTGCCAAGGCTAATGCCAATTGCTAACAGGCACATAAGTTACTGACTATCATAAATACCGATCGAGAGGATATAACTTACGATAACCTTCACTCGAGGAGGCTCCAGCTGATGGAATAATGAGGTTCAACGTAGCTAGAACGCCTGTGAGAATGTACGTAGAGCGCCAATACATCGTGACGAAAATTGGCAATTGGTTAGACCTAAAAAAGGAATACGAAGCTACTCGACTATCTAATATTTATTGAGTGAAGAAACAAGCTCTCTAAAGGGGGAGAGATAAGCAAGTGACATTCAGGCGCAGCTATTAGCAGTTGCGGAACGCTGCGGGTTAAATCATTGCGGCAGACATGTGGGGGCTGAGTGCGAAAGAGTACGAGTAGTCGGTCTTCCTTCTTAGCTCCCTTTAGTCACAGTTGGCGCAAGCGAATATCTCGTGCAAGCGAATGTCCCAGGTCACGATTTATACTAGGACCGACTATTGGTAGAATTGCAGGCCTTGCAGTTTTTTTGTTTCAACTAATAATAGAGCATTCGCAACAGGGGTTAATAGCACCCAGAACACCCTCTGAGCCCCCTGTTGGTTGGTTTGTTGGTCACATCAATTAAACATTACCAGGCCTGCCTGAGCCTCCTGTTTCTTCTATGTGGCACAGGTAGTTTATATGGCCTATTGGTATACCAATCTGTTAAAAATTCTAAAGGCTCGTCTATAAGTGCTTTATGTTTCGATCTTATTTTAAACAGATTTGATACTACTCCCTACCTCCTATTCACGAAGATAATGACTTTCTCGCGCAGGGCCTATCGCTTGAAAGCGCAGTCAAACAGGACATTCCCGGTTCGGTATTCATACATATTGCATCTTTCAGACCTACCCTATAAGCCTCACCTCTCAGCTTAATCCGATTCGCTGCTCCGTCTAATCCTATCATCTAGCCACGATCTTCATCTCTTCCTGCATACAGTGGGGTGTCAAAAGTTTAAACCCCCCCCCCCAACATGCTAGTGCCCGCTAGCTCATATATGTTCAGGGCATTTTAAAGCGCACTTTGAATCATAATACCCCGAAAGTACGTGTTTAACAGCACGCTAGCGGGCGCTAGCAGGGGGGGTTTCAAACTTTCGACACTCCACTAACCTTAATTTTAAGTACTCGCCGCATAACTGCAGTAAACTACAACAACTACAAGCAAAATAGAAAATTCCCTCATTTCCAGGAGGGTCATCCTTTTCCTCCCATCCTACTAACCCCTACTAGACTTTACAATCATGCCCAAATTATGATTCAGGATCATCATGAGGAATGCGGAGGACTTGGCATTATTACTTCGCCGTAGAAACCGTCCTTCTCTCACCTTCACAGTCAATTGCTAAGGCAGCGCCCCGTACAGGAACGAAATTAAGGCTATCGAGATCAGATTCGAGATGCAGGAAGTTAAAAGATTGTGGCGAGGCTGGTGTCTGAGAAAATGTACAAGTAGTTAGCATCGAAGTGTGAAATTTCAATTTGAACCCTCTCTTTACATCCAATAACATTTCTATTGACTGTGACAAAAGGTTTGCATTCTTCAAAAGCCTATCAAAATGTTTCACGAAAAGCTAGTCACGTTAGTAGCTCTTCTTCAATCTTCTGTGGTTCGATCCGCAATACTACCTTCCGAGTATCTCGATGCTAGAGACGATGATTCCTTCAACAATACCCTCGACGGTAGAGATGACACTCATCCTCTGAATCCTAGCGAGAGAGGTATGCTCGATGATCTTAACAATGCCTACGAGGGAATTTGGTGGGATAAGTCGTATCCCGGAGGAGCAGCGCCAAGAGGAGACCCGAAAGATGGTGGATGCGATGTAAGTTGGTACTATATATCTCTACATACAACAGCTTATTGAACCCTTACTCTTGCAGGTTGCGAGTTTTAATATCATTAGGGAAGCTACACGGAACGCAGTAAGGCTTGCTGGATATCAAGGAAGTGATCTACTCAAGGAAGACAGATCTTTCAACAAATTCTTTGTTCGAAATAGCATAGCCCCGTCAGGTGGGCGATGGACAGTAAGTAACAAGTGCTTATTCCGTTCTCCATGCTCCTCTATAGAGATGCTTATAAATGATTCAGTCCAGCAAGAACGCTCAGAACACTTATGCCTCGATCAATCATAACATGTTGTTGCCTTCGAGGTTTCCACTCGATGGGACTGGTAGACGAAGAAGAGGTCAACGTATCACATATCAATGCAAGGATACCCAGACGTTACCCTCGAATACTAAGGGATGCGCAGGTCCTGCGTAAGTATTTCCACTTATTTTTTGATATATCGGGCTGACGAACGAAGTGCTGCATATACGGTGAATACAGATTTTAGCCCCGAGGGTAAGTTAGTTTGAAAATTATTTCCTCGGAGACGTCTAATATAACTTTTTGCAGGATGGACAGTCGTATTTTGCGATAAATTCTTCCAGATTGGGACATATCTAAATGAACTTCTCGCTGGTCCAAAAATATCTGAAGCTAGTCTTAGCGGCCTTAAGTATGTTTCATATGAGCAAATAATCCTTCACGAAGTAAGTACAATCCCCATCTACGAACCTTGTTACATGAAAGCGAAGCTAATTAATGTTCAAACTAGTGGTTGCATAACGACATAATGGGCTACAGTGAACATCGTAAGTTATAGATGTTTCTATATTAAAAGCATATGCTAATTCCCAATCTCAGTTACGGATATCGTAGATCAAATCGATGATGATAGCCCAAAACGTGTACGTTACCTTATACAGTTTTCTCCCACATTAGACTAATTGCAATAGAGAGTCTACGGTATGAGTGAAGCGCGAGACTATGCGTGGAAATTCATGACGGGTAATAAAATGAACATTAATCCAAAGATCGTTGCTAATGGTACGTGCTTAAACTTCCCCTTAGACCACCTGCTATTTGATTTTATGAATACAGGCACTGATCATAATATAGTGGAGAACTATGTCTGGTACTTTGTCGACAAAATGTACGGAAGTCAATGGGGATGGACAGGCACGGGCAATGCCTATCCAGGAAGACCACTCGGACGTGACCTCAACCTCATTGTCAGACAAGACGATGTACAAGCAGATACTCTCGATCTTGGAGACGAAGAAACAGATCCAGCAACTTTGCCGACCCCGAGCTGGCCTTCAAACTGCCATGGAGCTCTAGTACTTGATACTTCGGATGCTAGTGCGCTGGTTTGCGATTATGTCGACCCGCCAAATGAAGACTCGAGCACTCCTACATCAACTTCTAGCGCATCAGCAGTCGTTACATTGCCAGCGGACCCAAAAAATTGCAATTGCAATGAAGACGGATGTACACCAGAATCGCCTGCATGTTGTGCCAATGGTACTTGCTAGGTTTCGCTGGACTAGAAAACTGCTTAATTTTTTCCTTTCCTGTTCTGCTATATGCACTTTGCTATCTACCATATATTGGAGTTGTACATTTTGTGTGTAAATTGTATATAAGCGTTAAATTTAGTAAAGCTGGGACTTGCTTTATTCAAGTTCTGCGAGTCGTTTACTACTTTCCAAAAATGTAGCTTAGTTTGCAGTGAAGCCATCATAATCAGTGATTTCGTGGATCTTGAAGATACTATACTTTAAACATATTAGCACACCGTAATTCACCCCAATTTTCCATTCAAATATTCATATTTGACCGCCGAGGGTTTCCCGCCGCCTTAGTCCAACAAAAGTCACGTCTCGTTAAGTTTCGTTTATATGTCTTCTACCGTTCAATTGTTTCTTTACCTTCAACCTTCAACTCAATAGCAAAACCCTCAATCTCCATCATCCGACTCGATTATGTTCAACCTCAAACGTATCTTCTCGGCCCGAAAGCATGACGATACACCTTTAGACACCGACTCTCGCCGTCGACCATCCGCCACGTTCTCTGTCAAGACCGCCCCCATCAACCTCACCCTAAAAAACCCTCCCACTATCTTTCGCAGCCCCTCCGCAAAGAGATATCACCTTCCCCAACTCCCAAGACATGATACAATCAGGCTTTTCGACACCGATATCGACTCGTCGCGTTCCGATGGGCGCCAAGAATCGAGACCCTCAAGCCTAAAACCAAGGAGGATCTCCTACTCCTCACTCCCCCCTCCACCCCAAATCCAAATTCCCCCAAAACCCCTCTTGCTCCAAACCTGGGACCCGCGTGCACCCCTCGCAAACGCCTCCCTACATTCCCCCGCCAAAGCCCTCCTAAAACAACTCTACCGCTCCAAACTCAGATTCAACTTCGCCTTCAAGGAAGGCATGGAACATAAAGACTATGACTGGATCTGGGTTTCAGAGGAAGAGTTGGAGAGGAAGGTGCTTGCGGATATTGTGTGGGTGAGAGAACGATATATGCAAGCTGGACAGGCGGAGCCTTCAGACGCGGATTTGGTGAGGTGGTACGAGGGGGATAAGAAACTGATGCCAAGGATCATGGTTACGGGGGCTACACTGTAGAAGAGCAGTCCGCGGGTGGGTGTGAATGGGAGATCCGTATAAGGGCTGAGTCTTGGGTGCCGAACTCAAGGGAGAGGAAGGATCGGGAGGATTGGGAGGGAATCAAATGAGTGGTAGTCCTCCAGAAAGGATAAGAAACGTTCTTGCTGTAAGGAGACGTGCTGGCATAATAGATAGCATGAGGCTAGCTTCTCCCATGAGCTTTGGAATAGCGGGCTTTGATACTAAAACTAGCGGCATGGTATAGATGGAATCTTGAGACAGCAAAGTCTTGCATCCACCCCATCAGCATTAGATATCTCAGAAGCAAAGATAATCACAAACACACAAAGATAGACTAATGCATTTCCTTCACGTGAATTCTGGGTGTTTGAGCATGCGGCTAAGAGTACTGAGTTAAAGCTTAGTAATGTGGAAGGAGCAGCGAATACCGTCATAAGCCCAGGACGGATAACTTCTATATCAATGGCCATCATTTCAGCATTATCCAACCAATTAAGATGCGTTAATAAATCCATCATTACCTATCAAAGCAAGCAAAATGTCCCCAGCTTGCCTCTCAGACAACTCTTTAGCCCGCATATTTTTGACACTGCATTTGAAAAATAGCACATGCAGTATCTGGGCTCTAGTACAAAGAGTATTAGGGCCGCGGGAATAATCGGAGCTGCTACTACTAATAACAAAATGCTGAAGTGAGGCAATGTTGTAGCCAAAAGAGACCGGTGCCAATACTTGCCTTCCGACTTTTGAAGTCGGATATAAAATGTCTGTCCTAGTATATTCGCAAACTGGTCGCTAAGTCCTACAAGCAGAAGTCTATTTTAGTTGCGATACTGCCTTATATTGCCTTCTATATCCAAGAAGCAGACAAGAAACTCTATCCTTCTATCTTCCACTCAAATCTACTCTCCCTTTTCCTCTTCCTCTTCCTCTTTATATTGCTCCCATTGCTGCGGATCATACTCTTCAGCATCCGCCTCAGCAGCGGCTTGCGCCTGAAGCGCTAGCATTGACTCCGTATCTTCCATCTCCACATCTTCCTCCTCCGTTTTCACATTCTCTAAACCGGCCTCAGCCTCCCAATCCTCATGAGGCCAATCAATCTCATCAAGCTCCGGTGTCGTTTTAACAGATTCAACGACTTCCGGATCGGCTGACCGTTCCTGGACACCCTCTTCGTAGTCAGTCATTCTTTGAGGGTCGAATCTCTCTTTCGGCATGGGCCCGGTATTGCGTTCACATTTGACGCAAAAGTTGCCCTTTACCTCCTTGAGGCAGCCTTCGCACCATCCCATGTTGACGTGGAGGTATTTGAGCTGTGTAGGTAGTGTTAGATTGGAATATTATGTGTATATGCTTTGAACATGATTTGCGTTCAAGGAATAGTGTTTAGTAGAGTATTGGATGTCAAGAATTAGGAGAGTAGAAAGAAGAAATAACAAGGCTTCTTTTATATTCACGGCGGGAAGCCTTCAAGTCGAAGAGTAACCAGAGCACCGGATATGATTGTCGACGTGGTGTTATTAGATGTTCCATGCAAACAGTCATATCGAATATTGGCGGGAGACAGGAGGTACGAAATGAAGTAGATGGAGCTTGAATCATGCCAAGATAACCCTCTGAATCGAAGTCCTGGCTTGTTCTAAATAAGTGTATAATGCATTATTAAGGGTTATTCAAAGGTTTTTATAAATGGTAGCTTATGATTCTTCTTCCTATTTGCTGCTTATAATCCTGAATATCATACACTTCATCGAGCCGGACCACGACCAAGATAATGAAATCCACTTTTCTATTTTCCGATCATAAGGTTCGACTTTTAGGACGTTTAAAGATATAGATAAAAGCGCTTGCAAGGTTAGCGTATCACAGGGTGAAATGGAGCGTGTATTGCTGCGTCTAAACTTCTCGAGGCTGAAAGAATAGGGGGTGGTGCCAAGGCTAGGCATGTGATTGACCTATCATCTTCTCACAGAAAGTAAATGGTTCTCACAGTAGGACTAGACGTGGAAGAAGACTTGATATGACAGTCACTATAGAGTTATCTCTATCGTGATACCTAAAGCTATATTGTGGTGGGGACAAAACGAGCTGTCACGTGAAGTGGGGTATGCAGCTAGCACTGCACCATACCTTATAAAATCGGACACTTCGATAAACTTAGTCCAGCACCCATTCTACAACACACTTTTTTATACATATTATTTAATATATGTATTTATACAATGATAAAACCATAAGTCAGATCCTAGCCTAGAGTCCGCGGTTGTGTTGTCCCTCCACATCATTCTTAATATTTTCTGTGACCTAAAGCCTTTAGATAGGTATATTACCTGTCCGAAGCACGACAGGCCTCTCCCTACCATACGCCAGCAGCGGATCATTTCTCCCAGTCAACCCTAGATTTCCTTGGAAATTTTTGAGAGCTCAAGATGACTGAAACGGTCAACAATACCTGGTTACGTCGAAGCTTGACAATCACCTCGGTTGCCCTCCTCAAGCGTTTTCGACCGCGCTCAGGCCGTATTCTCTTCCTCAATTCCAAAATTTGCGTCAAATATGGTACAACGGTACACTTAAGGAAGGGCATAACATATATCGTCATGGAGCGAATCCACGGGATTCCTATCGGTAGGAACTGGGATAGTCGCACAGCAGAGTCAAAAGCAGATCTGCTGTCTCAGCTACGTCAGTGTTTTATCGAGCTTCAAAGAATTCCACATCCGATTCCTGGAATGGTAGCAGCAGCAAACTTGGGAAAGTTATACGAGTATCGCATCTCTTCCGAACCATTCGGGCCGTTTTCGAGTCCAAAAGAATTTCACGTCTTCCTTCGCGACAATATTACGATTTCAAACAATACCCCAGATGAGGTCAAACAATTGATACAGATGCAAGAGGAGAATCAATACACAGTATGATTTTCTCACGGCGATCCATGTAGTTCGAACTTCCCTGTTGTAGGGAACAAGGTCGCGATGATTGACTTCGAATTCAGCGGATTTATGCCCTCCTATTGGGACTATGTCGCAGGGATGAATGTCAACCCATATGACGACTTTTGGAAGTCGGAAATTAGCAAGTTTTTGGATCCACATCCTAAAGAACTTGAAATGAAGGGCTTAAGACGAAAATTCTTTGGAGAGTTCTGATTGAAGATTATTAAACCTTAATACATATAATACAAATCAAGATCCAATCATTTACTCCGTCGTCTCTCTACCCTCCAGGACATCATAAGTAGGAACTTTCATCGTGTCCCAAACTCCTTGCCCGTCAAAATGATGCTGACTTTTCTTCAGCCCAACAAACCAATTAGCCATCTGTTCTAGGTAGTCCCAGTCTAACTGAGCTGTTCCCAAAGACTTTCCATCCGTTTGGAGTGCAAGCACCCCGCGCCTGACCCAGTGTCGGCATCTCCAGTTCGGGGCATCCTGCACTAGCCCCACTCGTGATGAAACCTGCTCTAGCCGGTTGGGATTTTCAAACTTTGCGATAGTGTTGCGGACAAGCAACTGGCCTGTTGGTTGCATCGGGATATCGAGGCCTTGGTACTCCCAGTGATTCCGTCCCGTAGTAGGGTCAAATCGTTCTCTCACGTGGTAGCGCTTTCCTTGGGAACTGCCTGATTCTTCCTTGGGGCCAACAAGTAATGCTCAGTGGTAGCCCGTTCCACCCCTGGCATATAGGGCAATTTAGAGTCTTAGTTTTCCCGAGACCATATCGTATCAAGGAGGAGGATGTAAGGAACGAGCTACTATAATGTTAGCCTAGTTTCAAACAAAGCGCGGACCTTTATTTTCTAGTTTTTCATTTACCTTGTGGTATTAAATCTGTTCTTGTCTGCACGTTTGGACCCATTAGTCACATGTGAGTCCGTTGCTGAACACTTGCTCACACAATACGAGGTCTAAGAATGCCAAAAACGAGCATAAAGGGCCATGCTAAGGTATCAGAATTCAGAGTTCATTGAACCTTCTACGGTACAGAGTGAGTGAAACTCGATTATCTCTCTATCAAGTCTCAATCCATTTATCTCTTATTGCACTGCAAATGACACCAGTTGAGTTTCTGTGAAACAAGTACAAAATTCTTACCGCCACGGTCTATTTGCGAACAGAAGTAAGCTTGACCATAAGTGGTGGTCGGTCAAATGCACCGTGCTGTATCCAGTCTCGACTCTCTTCCTGTAATTCCAAGTTGAATTCCCAAAGCAACCTACAGGAATAACCCATGTTAGTATCACTCTAGTCTACGAGCTATCTACCCAACATTCGAAGCACTTACTTGGAAATAATCAACCGTACCTCCAAGAGCGCCAAGTTCTTGCCAATACAGTTTCGCGGCCCAAACGAAAAAGGTTGGTACCCCTTTCGCTTATCATTCTTGAATTCATCGGGAGGGTTGGCAAGATACCGTTCGGGCAAGAACTCGTTAGGTCGGAAGAAGTTTTCTGCGGAGTGCCCTCCTGCCCATAGATCATAGCTGACGATTGTATTGCGGGGAACGTAAGAGCCGCCAATGAAGCAGCCCGCGGGAGGGACGATGCGGCGCAAGAATCCTGGAATAGGGGGGGAGAGGCGAAGCATTTCTGTGATTGCGGCATTGAGGTAAGGCAGTTGCTTGACATGGTCATTGGTGATATCAGCACTTGTCGAGAAAGTCATACGAATTTCGTAGGTCAGTCGGGTGAACACATCTTGGTTGTGCGACAAGAAGTATACCATTGCGCCTAAGGCTAAAGTAATTGTGTCGGTGGCTCCGATGATTATGTCAATGATTGCCTTGCGAAGTTCTGTGTAGGTCACTCCCGATGGTGTGTTTAGAGTTTCTAGCAAAGGAGTGATCCTTTAAGGTCAGCGCGAAACGTTGCAAGGGAAACGGATACTAACATGTCGGGTTTGGGATTGGATTTTGCCAGTCGTCGGTCAAGTTTTACCTTGGTGCATTCTTCATGGGCATCGGCACCTCTCCTCACGGAAGGGGGGACCATGTATCCTAGTATCTTATGGAAAGGCCAAAGCTTTTGCACAACGCCACCGATAATGAGATTGGCAGCGTACGAGAATGTACTTTTGGCCCATTCCTAAAGTCGATTGTAAGTTGAAAGATCTTGGGCCGCAAATTGGAATATTGTAGTGAGAGATTAAGACGACTTACGCTAGTCTGACCCGTCTCTAAGCTATCGAAAGATTCGCCAAATATAATATCTCCCATGATATCGAAAACAAGGAAAGAGTACCACTCATTGAGTTCAATAGCCTTGCTACTTCTCTCACGAAGACAGAAAATAAACTGGTCAATGTATTTGATAACAGTAGGCTCCTGCTGTCGCATTGCAGGTTCCGTAAAGCCGCTTCCAAAGTTTTTTCTTCTCGAATCAGACTATATACTTGTTGCAAAGCTTAGGAGTTCACATACCGTTTGCGGCTATGATGTAAATCATCACCTTCGAGAACCAAACCTGGAATGGCTAGGCTATGCTGTGCAAGCTCCTTCCGAAATTCTGGCTTTCCCGGAGGCTTCAGGTAGATGTCAGACCATGAAGACTCGGTGATGAGAGTTATTTCTCCAGGCGCGACGCGAACAACCAGACCATATTGTTCGTGGAGTTCATGTATTCGAAAGTGGAGGCGTCCGATTGCGAGGTTGTAGAAATAGGGAAGACGGGTTATTGCCCAGAGGCGAGGACCAGGGATGTTTGCAAGCGGGTGGAGCGTAACTCTGTATACAGCCGTCGCTAGAAATGTAGTAACGGTCTGGCATAAACTATTAGCAGGCCTAAAAGCTGGATATTGAAAGTGAAATTCTAGGTATGGATACTGAAATCTCAGGGCGTAAGACGGGAACAAATGTACCACGTACCAAGCCCAGGAAAGTTTTAAGGAAACCAATTGCAGCTAGAGTGCTGATGATGAGTTGGATAACTGTCGCCATAATTGATCCTGGTCCAGCAATATTCTAGTACAGACAGGTGTTGTTATGTTTTAACGTGGTCCTTAAAAGTGTTTAAAGAAAAGAAAGAATTTTACCATTAGAGTACAAAATATTTGTAAGTAAAAGCGTAGTCAATTCGGGAGATCTCAGCCCCATTACACCAATTCAGTCTTTTACATAGTGAATGCCAGAGCAAAAGTGAACACCACACCAAGATGTGAATGCCACAGTGTAGTGAGCTCGTCCCAGAATGGCAAGGTGTCCATGGATAGTCAAAAAGCTGATGTCATTCTCATGCACTCAAGTAATAGAAAGACAGGTTGAAGTTATTAAATTTTATAGCTAGGAGCGCTTCACACCGCTAACCGCTATTCAATCTCGCATAAACTTACCTAGGTACTTTAGGTATGTATAACTTGCTTTCAAATATAAGATGGCCTCTGGGAAAATGAAACTTCTTGGTTTTCTTTAGTCTCGTCCTCTCAATCAATACTATGCGGGAGTCGGAGCTGAAAGCAATTGATAGATTCACTTTCAAATCCTTTAAGGGCAAGCTTAGGGTGGATTTTATCGCTGTGATTCTGTGAATACAAAAATTGAATAATATACCCCTACCTCTGCACTACCTCTGATAGTTCTACAAGAGCCAAACTCTCTATGCTTACATACATAAACTAGGATCGCGTAAAGCAAATTGAAATGAAGACCCAAGGTATCCCTATACTTAGAGATTCCGTTCGTTATTACTTTATCCCC